AGAGCGCTGCTTGAAAGAACTCAACTGCCAATCCAAAAGCAGAATGGAAAACAGTATGCAGGGACAGAGGTAGCAGGGCATAGCTGTCGAAGCCTAGAGAGGCCAGTATAAGTAGGTAGGTTTCAACTATTGCCCATGTCACTAACTACATTGTTAATATGGCCAAACATATTTTAACAAAAGAGGAAAAACACTACTTTAAAACAAGCAGTTAAAAATGACTCTAAGCTGTCTTTGATGTGTGCTGAAGATAAGATGGAGACAAAGTCATAGGGACATGTTGAATAACCAAAACCAGCAAAATGTGTTTGTCCTGCGCTTAGAGGGTGCTGAGTTTAATGGGCCTTACTCTTAAGGAAATAGACATGGACCTTAAAACCGAAAGAAAGAAAAAAGCACATGGCACTTAAATGGTGTCTGTTCATGTATTTGTTATGTGTATAATTGGAAAGTAAATGAGTATGTATGCATTCAAAACTGATGATCTTAAAATGGTTTTGATTTTGAAAGGGATTTCAGTCTTGCCTTTATCGGGTTCATAAAGAGAATGCAATTGAGATTTTCTAATTTTGTTTTTAAATTGACTGTTTTTTCTTTTAAATATGACAGTAACTTTTCTTTTTACATTTTTAGGTAAATCTAAACATTCACATTTTTCTGAAACAAAGGTAAGAATTTATATGAAATATAACATGATTTCTTATATATTTTGTCACAACTATTAGTAATTAGTAGCATTCTGTAACACAGACATGAGGCAGACAGTCCTCCCTCCCTCTTAATGCAGAAAGAAAAACAGTTGAAGCACATAGAAATCTTTTACTAGATCAGTTCAGAAAGTTTGACGTTTCATAAAACGTCCAATATGCTTTGAGGTCTACAACAAAGAAGTCATACAGTTTGCCCATAACTGGCCACTTTGTACACCAGTTGAAATTCTGGAGAGCAAATAGAAACATTAATAATGATTTTGCTTACAGCTCTGATTGTTCCACTTCAGGGACATTTTTAATAACATTGATTTACAATTTCAGTCTGACCAAATGCGATTAGCTGCAATGAATTCAGCCGAAGTCAGGAAGTAGTACAAGGAGTCCTTGCTTAATGACGGTAATTGGGACTGACAACTCCATTGCTAAGTGTTGCAGTCATAAAGCATGACGTTACAGGACTGTGTTGACTTACAAAGGCAGTTGCTGTTGCCATTGTTAGGCAAATTCCAGATGGTCATTAAGTGCAGTGTCATATGATCACCATTTTAATCTGTTGACTTTCCCAATGACTTTGCTTATTGGAAGTTGGCAGTGGAGGTCACAAATGGCAATCACGTGACTGCCAGACTCTGCAACTGTCATAATTGGTAAAAAGTTGCCAAGTGCCCAAATTACAATTGCATAACTGTGGTACACTGTGATATTCACTACTACGAGAACCCGTCCTACATCTCATTCAACGCTGTCATAACTTTGAACAGTCCCTGAATGAGTGGTATATGTTTTGGATTAAAATATTATTTTAAAATAAATGTTAATAGTTATTTTAAAATATGGCAAGAATATGATCAAATATGGACTACATGCAATTAGTCAGCACAAGTGCTCTAGTAAGACTTTAAATATTGGGTGTATGTAGGTGTGTATCTGAATTCAAGTAATGCCAGTATTTTTGCCCTAAACTCTTTAAGGGCTGTTATTTATTTGTTTGTTTATTTGTTTGTTTGTTTATTCTATATGCTGCCCATCTTACTATCGAACAACTCTGGGTGGCTTACAACACCATAAAAACAAGAATATGTGAAAACATTAAAATTAACAAGAAATTTGCTACACTAGTACATGAATGGGAGGGGGTGGGATGTTCTTAATCCACTAGCCAACTCCAGTGGGGATTGCCCCCATCACAGCCCCAAGCCAGTCGGCACAGTTAGGTTTTTAGGCCCTTCCAGAGGCCAGGGGGGTGGGGGCAGATTTCATCTCCAGTGGCACAACATTCTAAAGGGTGGGAGCCACACCAGCTAAAATTGTTTGACCAATGGGATATGCAGCATGCCCTTCTGCAGGACTGAGTGGGGCAGGCCAATCCCTCTGGGGTAAGATGGTTCCTCAGGTAGAGGAATCATTTGTTTCATTGCTGCTAGCTCCTTATATTAATTTGTTCAGCTACTTTTTAATTTAGGATTTAGGTTTGAAATATACTTCTCTCCTGCTACATACATGCCTATAATATGCAACTAGGTTATTTATCTGAAATGGTATAGGGTTTCCTGCCTAAGTAGGGGGTTGGACTTGAAGACTTCCAAGGCCCCTGCCAACTCTGTTATTCTATTCTATGCTATGCTATGCTATGCTATGCTATGCTATACTATACTATACTATACTATACTATACTATACTATACTATACTATACAGTGTATGTTTATTCCAAAATATATCAAAATGGATTCAATGGATTTATAATTATTATCTGTACTTATTACTGAAGCTTAGATTTCAGTAAAAATCATTGGAAATATTATGAGATAAGGTACAAGAACAAATAGCTTTTTGTAAATCTCCCAGATTAATATTAACATTAGACAGATACACAAACAAAGGATACTGCATTTTTCCTGAACTCACTTCTCTACAATTTATCAATTCAACCAGTGGGACTACTCTCACTGATCTCATTTGATTTAATCTTAGTGAAAGTCTAAATCCAGAATTAGNATATTATGAGATAAGGTACAAGAACAAATAGCTTTTTGTAAATCTCCCAGATTAATATTAACATTAGACAGATACACAAACAAAGGATACTGCATTTTTCCTGAACTCACTTCTCTACAATTTATCAATTCAACCAGTGGGACTACTCTCACTGATCTCATTTGATTTAATCTTAGTGAAAGTCTAAATCCAGAATTAGTTGCATGCAAAAAAAGTATGCTCCCAATTAGTTAAAATATCCATATTGATTTGACCTATTCAAAATCTGACATGATTTTTTATAAATTTCACAATACTTTGCAATCATGCAGATGTAATGCTTTATTCATACATTTATCTGTAACTGTAGAATCAGTACAGTTTGCCCTACAAGTTATTTGTTATAGTCTTGAAATGTGGAGCAAACAGCAATCTAAATACCTTTATTAATTGCATTATCCAATGCTAATTCATATCGCAGTGACTAATTCAGTCATCTAGAAGATTACCAGTGTAATCAAACAGCCAAAATGTTCTTTCTCTATAGTTGTTGACATTGAACAATACAAGGTATAATGAACTTAATATTAGATGAGACACTTTAAAATATCTACCTGCATGTTTTCCAATTTGTTAACATTTATAAAGCTGCAATTAAATGTAAAAAAGAACTGTTTATATTATAATGATATAGGCAATAGATTTTCAATATGCAATTCATGAAAGGTTAATTGTGAAACTACAATTTTAAATATATTTGGTTTCTTTGTTTGTTGAAGGAGTTCACATATCCAAATAGGAAAATTAACAAACCTTCTGTTTGAAGAGTGAAGCAGTTTTCTCTGACCTGTACATAATGTTCTCAAGAATGTTGAAGAAAAGTCATGTGCTAGTAAAGAGAACAATGTATATACTTAAATAACTGCTTTCATTATTAAGTTTAGAATGGTCTCTAAACTATTATTACAGGAATGCATGAAATATTTTTATATGGAGCATTATATTAATTTACTGTTGGTTAGAACCTAGTAAAATGGATGCTTTAGTCATCTATTTCCTGACTTAAAAATAATCTGCACTGAATTGTTAGTCTAATTCCTTAGTATGTTTGTAGTGTAATTTACACTATTGCTATGAATTAATTAATATTGGCATTATATTTTTATCTGGTAATCCATTCAATTTGGATTGATATGTTTCAGAAGTTTGCAAATCAGAATATTAAGTGGCACCAGAATCTAAGGTTCCGTGATTTTTTGAAAATTTCTCACATGGCAGGATAAACATAATTTGCTATGACAGATGATTTTTGAAGTTTTTTTTTAAAAAAAACAAAACAAGCTGAAGGAATAAATAGCCCTGATGAAAAATTAGGGAGGCAAGAATTTTGGCTCAAGACAGCTTTTTTAGTGTTTACAAGGAAAAACATGCATTGAGGCTTTGTTATTTTATTTATGAATATGAGAACTTCAGGGAAACAACAAGTCTATGGACAATGCTGTATTATATTGTTTAAGTGTGGGAGAATGGCATGCATGATATTGTATTACAGCATGAGATGTGAAAATAAAAGACCATAATATAATTAAAAGGTCTATTTTTAAATACTTGTTTATTAAATATATAACAAAGAGAGACAGAGCCCTTATATTAGTTTTCTAATGATCTGCATTAAGGTTAATTATCTTCATTAAAATAACTAAAATCTATCATTTAAATTTCAGCCCCTTTCAAACATCAAAGAAATAGGAGGGGTAGATATGAAAAAGAAAATGAGAGGGATCTTTGTCCCATTTCCCATCTATTGGTTCTAATTTCTGTCCTATATTCCCCCCTCTTGGAACTTTCCCTTTCATCCCCACTTTTCCTCCTCCTATATTATGTGGCATAAGCTTGCTGTGTTCTACTCAACTGAGCTTTATCATGCCTATAGTTCCACATGTAGACTTCAAAGGAAGAATGTTTGCATAACATTGAAAGTAATCTGGTTACAGCCTGGTTATTCAAAGCAAAGAAAATAAAATTAAACACATCTACCTTATCCAATTTCAGTATTTTGAAAAGTACCATCAGCAAGATAGTTTGTGGGGTAGGGGGCAAGCTGCATATTAGAAATTCATTAGTTAACATCTGGATTATATTGTAATTATTATGTTTTTTCCCTATATAATATTAATATGGTAAGAGATTTTTTTTTCTTATTTAACTATTGATTTAATATAAACTAGTATTTTGCTTTTCAGATATTTTGGACTATAACTTAAATAAGATAGAAGTTGCAAAATGCCTATCTAAAACCTGATACAATCCCTTTTCAGGTTATAGAATCACTAGGAATTATTATTTATAAAGCACTGGATTATGGCTTGAAAGAGAATGAAGAGCGAGAGCTCAGCCCTCCCTTGGAGCAACTGATTGATCATATGACTAACACAGTGGAGGCAGATGCGACCAAAGATGAAGGCTATGAAGCTCTGGATGAAGTCATAGATGATGAACATCAAGGCAATATTGAAGTTATACAGTCTTATAGAGATGTCATGAAGGTATAGTTTTAATCTAATTATCCAATGTTGATATTTAAGAAACAGTTAAAGTAAACAACATCTTTTATGTTTAGATAGAGCACTGACATTGTGGTTGTCTAATAAAGAATATTAGAGTTGACCTAGATATTATAGTGTTAACCTGGTTGACCCTGACAGTATATTCTAATTTAAAATATTGTTTTCATCTGATATATGACTTAGCACAAACCTGTTTTTTTGTTTCTGTTTTTACTGCATTTCAGTTTTCAAGAGTCTATTGTCTTCTACTACAGTCATACCAATGCAAAGCTTCTTGGGAATTTCATCACTGCATTGATGTAATATTCTTCTACAACCCACACATTCTTAGCACATTCCATTTTCATATAAACACATACCAGAGAGATCTGTTTATCTCAGTCAGATTAAAATTTAAATTTTTTTGCAATATGCAAAGTTGGTTATATAAAAAGTATTTTTCTGTAAATAGTCCTTTATTTAAACGTATTTATTTAGCATTGTAAATTTACCTTTTAATTCAGCATGAAAGTTTTCTTCAAAATACAATATTCACATCTTAAGTAGTTACTATCTCTAGATAGTTATTAAAATAGCCTTTGAGTGAACATTGATTCTTGGTGACTTTCTTCCACACTTAATGATCAGTTGCTTGGCAACTATTTGAAGTTACGACAACACCCCCTCTCTAAGCTACTTACAACTTGGTTCCAGTGTTTGACAGCTGCACACCTCATCATAGTCAATGACTGCATTTCAGGCACAACCAGCTCAGTTTTGTAGCCAATTGCAGCATTCCATGAACCCATATTTACAATTTTTGACATTGTTTGCCAGTTTCTGACCTCTTTGTCTGGCACCTGCAAAAAAAGCCAATAAGAATATATTGATCCATTTAACAACTTTGGCATTTGTTTAATGACCACAGTGTTCATTTAACAACTGCTACAAAAAAAGTAATAAAATCTGGCCCAATCACATGGGTACCTCGATTTATAACCGTCATGACTTACAACAGAATGTCCAGGCACCATTATGATCATAAGTCAAAGACTACCTATAATGTAGGCGTGATTTTCTATTGCCTTCTCCTTGGACATTTCTTTCAACTTTAAAGGCTGTTCAATAGACTAATATCAAAGAGATAAAATCCTGCTTAGCTTATTGAGATCTACCTGGTTATATGCTATCCAATGCATGTCTATGTAGGAGAAGATTTGGTAAAGAAATGTCCACTTTCACCTGATCAAAACAACCTTCTACGGTATTATACCATAGGTTACAGCACATAGAATTTGGGTTCATGTGATATAGATGTCTATATGGCTGTGCCACAATTAGAAAAAATAAAATATGCCCATTTATGAGAAAGTCACAAGTTGCTCTTCATGTTTTACTATTCATACTTAGGTATACAGTTCTCACCACATTCAACTTTTTAAATGTTTCTTCTAGCATACCTAATACTGCAGCACAGTTACACGTAGCCATTTTAATATTCATTATTCATTACAGATCACATATTACTTATAACCTTTTGATCAACATTTGCACATTTTAGAATTTCTCCTTTCTTTTTCCCATCTTTGCTAAACATTCAACCAAGCTACACATATTCGTCTACTTTCTCTATTTTTCATCATACAACTTTCATCATATAACTCTTTGTCTTTGATAAGTTGATTGTCTGATCATACCTCATGACATTATACAAAATCATTCAAGTTCTTAACCTGGGTAAATTACTCAGACTTGGGTAAAATGATTTTACTTTAAGTAATGACACACAACCCCATTATCCAATCACAACAGAGACATTTAAATTGACTTAAAAGGCTTTACCTACATTACGTAAAATACTTTATGATAAGTAGTTTTGGACAATGAAGGGAAAAATTGATGAAGCATTGTCTTAACCAGTAACACAGCATCATGTGCAAATATTCCTTATGTGTACCACAAATATTCCTTATGCTTTTATCCACAAATATATTAGGGGGCTGTTTGATCTCCGAGCTTGGCGATTTGGCTGCAAATGTTTCATCTCCATTTGGGGGGGGGGACATCTTCAAAGCACACTGAAGATGTCCCCCCCGAATGGAGACGAAATGTGTGCAGCCAAATCGCCAAGTTCGGAGATCAAACCTACAGCCCAGCTGCCATCCCGAGCTACTAATATTCAAACACATTTCACAAATATATTAAACAACCAAGGAGACACTCTCCCCCATCCCTACCCAACTTTCAACCATTCACTAAGCATTCCTTTCTGACAGATGGTTTATTTTCATCATATGCTGCATCTACTGTGTTCAGCAATCAACCATCAGTTCCATATTTATGCAAAAATCTGGACTGCAAACTTCTTCCTAGCACAATGACACAAATGCACTTGCAAAAGTTTAACTTTAAGAACAATTATAATTTGCTTTCTTGTTTGCTCAAATCACGCCTATTTTCTCTGTAAGAGAATTTAAACCATTATTGTTTGTAGTAGAAGATGTCTGTATTTGTAATGAGTTTGGAAAGCTTTGATGGTTTGCAAAAATATACTCAGATAAAGTAATGATAAAATTCTTAAAAAATAAAAAAATCTAAAGACCTGTTTGAAAAGCCACTTTTTTCTCCATCTTGTGTAATAAGAAAATGTTTGCAAATAGGCACTATGCTCGCCCCCACATGTGAACTGAAGCACTTTTTCATTTTTTATTGTGGAACACTGAATACCTAAACACTACACAGTGCCTGAATATCTGTGTATTATATTTTTCAGGCTAATCTTTCTTGGCAGATGCCATTTTAAATTCAGGTTTGTTTTTTGTTTTCTGGCTTATTGAAGAAAGCAATACTATACTGTACCATATTACACTATAGCATTTTATAGGTAGTATTTAACTTTCTGCTGGGGAAAGTTGGATCTTTCTGTTATAAGTCAGTAATATTGTAAAGCGAGATACCACATGACCACACCAACCTATGATGGCAATCCTCGTTACAGGTAGCTAACCAAAAATCTGCAGGTTACTTGATCCCTCCAGCCTCCAGCCTTAGTAAAGTAAAGACTGCTTCCAACTCCCCCTGTCCTTCTGTCTCTTCCCGTCTTTGCCTTTTAGCCATCTTCTCCTGTGGGCCAGAAAACAGCTTCAGAACCACTCAATTTTGGGTCTACTTGCCACGCTTTAAGAAGCATCAGCCACATCAGGTTGGCCCAGCAAGTGTTTGTTCTCCCAGTTGCCTTCTCTTCCAGATCTTTTGCCTTTTGTGCCCAGCTGCCATGGCTGACGCAGAAGCACCTCACTGCCTTGGTCACCTGCTTTCCATTTTTTTAAAAAAAGCAAAAACAGCAGGTACTTCTGTGCCCAGGACAGTTGGGTCCAAAAGATTGCCACTGGAAATTGGGAGTGGAGGCAACTGGGCAAACAAATGCTTGATGGCACTTACTAAGACAGCTGAGACTTCATGGCAAGCAACAACAGTCCCAGTTTTTCATGTGGCCCATTGGGAAAATTAATTGCTCACCCCTGCTTTAAAGCATGTCTTAATTAAGTGAAGATCTGGAACTAATTGCAAACAATGTACAGTGAAGAACAAATCTGGCGAGCTTTATAACTTGATGAAAATCTTGAGCTGATACTGACCATGGAGCAGTTAAAGTACACATTGATCCATATGTACCTAGAGAAGTAAAGTTCATATTGTTAAGTTCATATTGAGCCATATGTATCTAAAAAAGAAATAATCCTCCTCTTGTTTTATTTTATTTTTCCTATTGCAATTCTCACTTTGCCAAGCTTTCGGTATAATTATGGAGGGTTTTTTTTAGTTTTGTTAGGATTTATTCTAGATGAACTGGTTTTATTAATGCATATATTCTTGGGCAAAAAACTCTAGATATTGCTAGATGATGTGTGGTTAAACAACATTTGTTTTTTTTATTTTCTTGGGTAGCAGAATAATTCAAATATGGTTTAAAATATTTTGTGATATTGAAAATAAAATTACGTTTCTCTGATATTTAAATTATAAATGAAACATTTGTATTTTTTCTGTAAAACAAAACTCATTATGCTTTTGTAACCTTTTTGCATAGCTTTGCGCTGCCCATCTGCCAACCCAATCAGATGCACCAAATCACTATCAAGCAGTATGTCGCGCACTATTTGCTGAAACAATGGAGTTGTACACATTCTTAGCCAAAATTAAAAGTGCTAGAGAGGTAAGCAATGTACAAATCACTTAGTTATTTGGCTTTTAAAAATGTCATATATTTCTGTTCTTTAGTATTAATACTCTAAAACAATTGTTTTTGTAATTACAAATACTGTGCTTCTATTTTCCTCAGTTATCTTGCCCATTCACTCAGGAGTTCACTTTATGAGCATTATAAATCATATCTAATGTACTAGAAATAATGAACAGAATATAATTAAAAGTTTTGAAATATTTAAACAGAAGAATTGATTGGTTTTAGGCTTTTTCATGTTTATAACAGACTCAGTAAAGCCAGTCAGGTGAATTACATTTGTCATAATTATTTTGATTTCAGGGGCACCATATAATTATAACATAAATCTGTCAATATTGGTACTGGGTTCTTTCACTACTACCATATTTTTTTGGATTTTAGTTTTTAAATGTATATATTTAATATAAATTCATTTTGTGACTTGAAAGAAGATTAATATATGTTGAGCATGAAGTATAAAAATAATCAAATATTATATTTATTAAACTTTGTGTACCATTGATTACCTAGGATTTTGTTTTGTATTTTTAGACTTTTTAAAAAAATACAAACAGTATCAGCTACCATCAGAATCTCCCAAAAGACTAGTGCCACCTCTTCTCTGTCTTGGAAAAACACTGATGTAGCACCTGAAAATGAAGTGGACACATCTCACTCAGGAGGAAATTCCCTTTCCCTCCCATGCCAGATTTACTCTCTCTATAATTGAAGCCTAGATGAGGATGGCCTTGTGACAGATAAACCTGGCATTTAATAGCATCATCCTGAGATTATAGTTCTTCAGCAATCTAGACAGCTGATTCTTTTAATGAGAGTGAAGGGCCAGAAAGATATGCAGGTAGTCCTGACGTTACGACCACAACGAGCCCAAAATTTATGTTGCTAAGTGAAAAATTTGTTAAGTGAGTTTTTCCCCTTTTACGACTTTTCTTGCTACATTTGTTAAATTAGTAACACTGTTGTTAAGTGAATCTGGTTTCCCCAATGACTTTGCTTGTCAGAAGATTGCAAAAGGTAATCACATGACCACGGGACACTGCAACTGTCATAAATGTGAGTCAGTTGTCAAGCATCTGAATGTAAATCACATGATCATGGGGATGCTACAACGGTCATAAGTGTAAAAAATGGTCATAACTCACTTTTTTCAGTGATGTAACTTTGAATGGTCGCTAAGTGAACCATTGTAAGTCGAGGACTACCTGTATTGGCCATAAATTCCCAGTGCTCATCAAATGGCTCCCATCATATTTTCTTCTGGTCTTCACAACCGTTATCTCTTTCTCCTCATGCCAACTTCTAAGTTTCCAGCCCCATCTCCCACCTAGAACTTCTGCTTCCATCTGCCAGTACTTATATACCTATTACATTATTTCTAGTAAACATCCTCTCTCTACTTACCTCCACTCCTCAAGGCTACCTGCAGCTTTTCACTTCTCACCTTCTTGTTCCTTCATCACTCTCACTATATCCTTCATATCAATGTGTTACTACAGGAGTGTCAAACTGCCGGCCCAAGGGCTGGATGCATCATGCCGAAACTGCGCCAACCCCATTGCTGGCAATGGGGAAAAAGTCACGATACTCGCAACATGTCACGTGAAGTTGCGAGTTTGACACCCCTGTGTTACTATCTTCATTTTATTGTGTTCATTACAAAATATTGTATGGAAGTGACAAATGCCAAAATAAACGTGATAATTATAATCTCTTTAAATGTGAGTTTATCTGACAGTGCTGATGTTGTTTCAGGTGTTGCTAAATTATAATGCATAATATCCTTTACCAATGACCATGCTGGGTAGAATTAATACAGTAGCTATAGTTCAGCAGGGGCTGTAGGGCTGTATCTTCACCGAACTTATTGTAAACAAATATTTTTTTCTTTTAATTGATAGAATTTAAAGAAAATACAGGAAATGGACAAAGGAAATAAAGAATCTAGCACTGACCTTGATGAATTAAAAACTGCTGATTGGGTAAGATAACTTTTTTTTCATAAAGTAACGGCTTTATATTACAAACTTATAGCCAGACAACACAATCTATATCAAACATTTATATCAAATATATACAAAGAAGCACATATAAAAATCTATATATAAAATCATGGCTAATATTACATTTTTTTCCTCTATAAAGTAAATAATAAAGAATTTATTGTTATTGAAGTTAAACATGACTCTAGATGCTCTATTAATTTCAAGACATGCAACTGATTATTTGGTTATCTGACAATGTAATTAACTGCTTGCTTGTTTATAACCTTTCCTATCCTGCATACATGCTTACAAAGAAATATTTGGAACTGTGTTATCTAAAATGGAATAATATATGGAAATTAGTTGGAAAAAGATAATTGTTGCAATATTCAATAAAGTAAACCCTAACTTTTAAAACTGAAGCACCATTTTGCTTCATGATACATGTAGAAGCTATGACGAGTATTTACCTATAAGTATTTAAATTTAGTAGAGCTTAAAATACAATAATACAAACTTTGTTATATATATTAACTTTTTATTCTTAACTATTTCAGGCCCAGTTTTGGGTTCAGGTTATGAGAGATTTGCGAAATGGTGTAAAACTTAAGAAAGTTCAAGAACGTCAGTACAATCCTCTTCCCATAGAATATCAGCTCACTCCATATGAAATGTTGATGGATGATATTCGATCCAAGCGCTACACTTTAAGAAAGGTTATGGTAAGCTCTGTCAAAATCAATTTTATCATTTTTTACATAGCCTTAAATTATGTTAGGACTACCAAAAAGGAGAAAAAAGCAAACTATTTTAGTTAATTTGAAAAACTAATGCCTTCTGGAGGGGTTTTATATTGTTTTGTTTAATTTTTGCCCTTAGAATAATAGAATCTTAGCTAATTTTACAAGCTATTTTGAAAATCACCTCAACTTCAATAAATGTTACTATGTTATAGGATCTACTATTTGGAAGAAACAAGGACCTTATTTCTTTAGGCGGATAAAAACTAGATGCATAGATTTTTGTATCATATCATATGGATTTAATAAAAATTACCAAACTGTTCAGCTGGAACACTAGTTTATAAAATTGAAGTTCATTTTGTTTCATTGTATATATAAACATTATAAATCATTTACTAAGAAATTTCGATAGCTTCTAGGTATCTCTTCCTGTGATCATTGAGCATAGGATCAGGATAACTCCTAAAGCTAATGCTTTATATAGTAATCTAAAGTGCAAAGGTCCATTAATTCAATTCCCGAAGACCTTTTGAACCCTATAGAATAACATCTGGCTAGCTATATTTTACAGGTTTCAGATAATATAAAACTGGTTACATAGTGCCTGCCTCCTGGTGGTCAATCGACTCCATTTCAGTAATCACCACAATTATGATTTTTTAGAATTCATTGCCCTTTTGACTACATAATACTGATGTGCAAGTAAAATAATAGATATTTTTCTTTCTCTCTTTTAGGTCAATGGGGATATCCCTCCACGATTAAAAAAGAGTGCCCATGAAATTATCTTGGACTTTATCCGGTCTCGACCTCCATTAAATCCTGTATGTAATACAATGGAAAGGGGGGGGGGGGACAAAGTTAATGAAAATAAGAGATTTTCTATATTGTTTTGCTTTAACTACTTCATATTCAGCTTTCTTCCACTGCCTCTCCCAGTCTTCTCTAAAATACAGGAAACACAGCTTTTTTTCTTATATTTTGTAGCATTGGCATCCTTCAAATGCATTTATATAAAATACACAATAGAGGAATTATTTTGAAATAAAATCTTATGTATTTTTACTGTTTCATATCAGTCATATCAGTCATCTCCGCTACAGCTGATATTTCTCTTAGCCTATTGGTTTTGTTATCTATTCTGACATGAAGATCTGTCCCTTATCTGAAAGTGTGATTTTGTTTATGTGTGTGTGTTCCCATTCGGATAAATCAGATATATCAGAATAACAGAGTAACAGAATTGAAAGAGACCTTGGAGGTCTTCTAATCCAACCTCCTGCTCAAGCAGGAAACCCTGAAACCATTTCAGACAAATGGTTGTCCAGTCTCTTCTTAAAACCTCCACCACAAAGGTGAACAAGCTGATTATTCATAACTGTGGTTCTTTGAGTGGTCATCTGTGCATTGATATGACCTTCCCTCCATCTCTCTCATGTCTCTTCTTTGGTTTGCAAGAAAGAACTTTTTGACATCAATTCAAGGTATTAAGCAGATAGCCAGAAAATCTCTTCTATTGCACATGCAGTGGCTAAATGTGTTTTTCCCCATTTAAAATGTAATATATTTAAGACATTGTTTAGGCTGAAGAAGAGTTATAATCTATTAAAGTGAATATGCAATTATCACTTGAAAAACCATAGTTATATTGTAGGCAAGCAATCTATTATTTTTAAATTGTAGCTTAGAAATTTACCTTATTATCTTATTTCAATGGACACTTAATTCAGGTAAAGCTGTGTATCTTGATGAACGTCTCTTAAGCATTGCCAGTATTATTTTTTTTTTTGAGATATGTTATTCTTTCCAGGCATCTGCAAGAAAACTGAAGCCAACTCCACCACGGCCACGTAGCCTCCATGAAAGAATTCTGGAAGAAATAAAATCTGAAAGAAAACTAAAACCTGTTTCACCTGATGAGGTCAGGCGTAGCAGGCTAGGTGAGTACTTGGATTTTGATGAAACCTGGTTCATCTCTCTGGGCTCAGGAACTGAGTGGAACATGGGTCATTTGTCCTTGGATGACAAATCTCCCCAAAATACCAGTAGGTATAGGTTGGACTGGAAGATGAAAAATAGCCCCTTCCCTCAAAAGAAGGCTATTAAATTATCAAGAAAATTGTGTGCATATGCAATGTAGCCTCTAGGAATCAAGGTCAACTTAGAGAAAACTTTTCCAAGATGTGTTAACCAAGTCACTCTTCATTTCTAAAATATGTTAGCCATTTCAAGTGCCTGATTGATTAATCTCTGTTGCTGGCTGTACAAACAAAAATATAGTGAAATAGATAAAATTAAAATATGAACACTTTGAAGGGACTTATATTTTCTACTAAAATAAACAAAAGTAGCTAATTTAAATTTTAAAAATTAATTTGCATGCAAGCTTTAAGCTTATATCTCATTTTGAAAGAGGGAATTGGCGATGGATTAGTAAAGCCTTCATGCCAATTCTGTTATCTTTTTATGGAACCTCTAGAGTTAAAAGCTTTCCGCCCAATAAGAGTTAGGATTACATAAGATCACCTACAGAAATCATATGCCTCCCCTTTCAGTTCCACAAGCAAAAATGCAATAAAGCAGAATTGCTAATTGTTTGTAATCAAATTTCTAAGGAAGAGACAATATACTTAGTGCTCCTTTTGCCTGATTTATCAGAAATCAGGTAAAAATAGATAATAACTTTCAGCAAATAACAAAATGAAGCTACTTCATCCAATGACTCAAGTTTATTTTATTTATTTATTTATTTTATTAAATTTATATCCCGCCCTTCTCCTTGCGGACTCAGGGCGGCTAACAATCGATTAAAAAATACACAGATAACAATTACAGGATTAAAATTAATTAAAAGGAAATATTTAACTATGATCTAATTAAAATATAATTAAAACCCCCTCTAAAAATTTCCCTAGGCCAGTCCTGCAAGCTGNGGGAGGTAATCTGCGGCAGGAGGCGGTCTCGAAGGTATCCGGGTCCGATGCCATGGAGCGCTTTAAAGATGATGGTCAACACCTTGAAGCGCACCCGGAAGGCCACAGGCAGCCAATGCAGCTCGCGCAGCAGCGGTGTTATATGGGAGCGACGAGTCCCTCCCAACACCGCCCGCGCGGCCGCATTTTGGACTAGCTGAAGTTGTCTGAATTCCCATATAAAAGCTATTATGCTTCCCTGGATATTTCGTGTATACTGTTACTATAGCAGAAGTTCTTTGATTCAGTTTTTTAAATCTATAAACCATTGCTCAAAAATGTAGGCAAGACTATTTCAAACATCAAATGTATTATATTAGTATCAATTTGCAATAGAAAATACACTGTGCTAACTCAATATTGATACATATTCAAATGTGGTAATCCTTGGTTATCAACCACTGGTAGAGAAATCGTTCAAAGTTATGACAGTACTGAATTAGTGGAAATTATGATCAGTCTTCAGAGTTCTGGCTGTCCCAGCATGCTTGCAATGTGGATGCTTGGCAACAGGGTCACACAACAGTTGTAGCATTCCGCAGTTACCTGATCACCGTTTCCGACTTCCCTGTCAGCTTCACACAAGCAATATTAATGTGGAAGCCAGCAGACAAGGCTGCAAGTCACTCTGGTAAGTCTATCCGACCCAGTAGCAGCCACCCTCAACCATGCCGTCCTCATGTTGTGCCTTACCAGCCATCTACGCATCCTCCCCTGCCTGGCAGCAAGCACCCGAAGCCCCATTTGCATTCTCACCACAACTTGATGGCCATTCACACAGCCTCTCCAGCCTATCAGCAGCCACTTACCTGCCTGCTGTCCTGCTTTCAAACTGCCTGGGACTTGAAACTTCCTGCTGGCTTCCTCACTGACTTGGTTTTTTTAATGCTGGCAGGAAATTGCAAGGAGGTCTTTGCTTACTGATGGCAATGATGCCAGGATTGTTGTTGTTAAACAATACAGTCATATGACCCCACATTTTATGACCACATTAGTTAATGATGTAAATCCCTGTCCCAATCGCCATCGTTAACCAAAGACTACCTGTATGTTTTCCCATATATATATTTTTATATCAAAGTATATAGGCAACACTGGTATAGCATTTACATAATTGTAATTTTTAGGAGAAAAGATAAATACCACAGTAGCAGTGCTTATTCATGCTCCTTTTCTGCTTTTTCTAGATGTACCCACATCAGCAGCCTCCCAAAGCCTATTAGAAAGCTGTATAGCGAATGGCAGCTTGGAATCCAAAGCAAAGAAAAATGGCCTAGGTACAACGAAATTAACAGTGCAGCGGAAGAGACTTTTGAAAGCTCCCACTTTGGCTGAACTGGATAGCTCAGATTCAGAGGTAAGATGTATAGCAACAATGCATCCCTTCAGTTTTTAGGTTTTTACAGGTAATCCTTGACTTACAATCGGTCACTTAGTAATCATTCAAGTTATGATGGACCTCCCCAAAACTACTTACAACCCAGATTTGAAGTTTCACTTCGGTCAAGTGATTATATTTTGGGTGCTTGGCACCCAGTCTGCATTTATAATCATTTGCCATATCCTGCACTCACATGACCTCAATTTATGACCTCATTTTAATTTTTTTTTGCCGGAAAATAACATTTACTTCTGGTTTCTGGCAAAAAACACCCATTGTGGACAATAGACTCACTTAATCAACACCATGTTCACTTAACAACCGGTGCATTCAGTTAACGATTGCCACATTTGCTTAATGATCACTGCAAAAATGATCATAAAATCAGGGTGTAATTCCAGGCTAAATTACAATCATAAGTCGAGGACTACCTGTAATTGGTTCATTTCCATTTACTGCTTTTATTGGTCACATTGCTTAAAATGTTGTATAGTACATTTGATAAAAGTAGTGTTGAAATCATTTTGAACAAAATGTGGTTTTATGCAATTCATCCTAATGACTACTGTTAAGATTAAAATCAAAATTAGACTGCAAAAGCTGCATGTTTTGTGATGTCAAATGCAGATTCAGTCTGTGTGTCACTATCCAGTTCTGGCTAGCAAATGTTAGAAAAACCATCTATATGAAATAAATAACTTTGGATTAGGTCATGTTCCTGATGTGGGTAACATTTTACATTGAGTTGGGTCTACTTTGCTCTCACTTCACCCTTGGCTTGTACAGAATCCCAGTATGAATGCTCCTTTAACATAAGTACTATTGATATCTATAGTGCACCATTGAATTGCTTTTAGTTTATAAAGCTTGCACATATGGACAAGAAGCTTATACAGTAGCTGTCAGCCTATTATATGGCCTCTATAACATTTTCTGCTGTTTGAAGAAACAGTGATATTTTATTTTCTAGAAGATTTTCATTAATATGACTAGGTAATCTTATATAGTTCTATATCCTGCATCGTTAAACATTATGCTGTATTTTCCTGCATATTGTTTATATTGCTTCCCAATTAAGGAGAAGGGAGACAACTGATTGCCATATTTTATTATTTCCAGGAGGAGTCTATACACAAATCAGCCAGTAGTGGTAGTGTTTCTCCCTCCCAGATGGAAGAGGTGTTTCTGGAGACCATATCTGGAAAAAAGGGTGAGTAAAAATGCTCAAAACAAATAAGATTTCCTGAAACAGTAGAAACATTTTAAACATGATGGATTAATAGAGATTTGTGTGTGTATAATGATATGATATGATATATGATACAATGCTACTTTCATTCTAGTTGTATAACATCATTACAGGTACTGTTAAAATATTAATTTACAAAATTTGAACCTAATTCATCCTTATCAAATTTACAGTGCCTCCAAAATTCTTGCCAATATCATCCACACCACAGCCAGAAAGGAGACAACCACCTCAGAGACGACATTCCATTGAGAAGGAAACACCAACCAACGTACGGCAGTTCTTGCCCCCCACAAAACAGAGCTCCAGATCACTTGTAAGTATTGTAGTAGATCAAATTTGGCATTGGTTGCAGAATCAAACATAGTGGTTCCAGCACTGAGGGAAGAATATGCTGTGATGAATCATTAGCTCAAAATTGTGAAACCTTGGAACAGCTCTTGAATTTTCTTTCCTGTAAGTTTAAAGTAAGATCTACAATGAAATAACTCTGAACTTTTAAATTCTGGATTTGAATGTTGTGCCTAATTACTGATGCTCTTATATAAACTTGCTAACAAAATTAATATATCTCCATGTAAAATGTCTTCTATATGAAAATATAGAAAAAAAATATGAAAATGAATTTTTTGGCTGATGTTTTTGCATATTTTTAATATGACAAGTTTTTCTCATATTTAAAGAGCTTAGAATGCGACGTAGTCATATAGTATTATTGAATCTATTTAAGGATCAAAAGAAAATACAGCACATTCAGTTAGGTGACTTTATCTGAAAGTAGTTTCCAATAAAATACAATTGTCAAAAGGAATAAAATGCCTGTTTTAGGAGCTGGCAGAATGCCAAATCCTTGTATTTTATAAGAGGTCCATTTTTTTGTTAAAAGAATTCTTAAAATTGATAAAAGAGTGAAAGAATTCAGGTTTAGGAAGAGGGGTGCATTTGATTTTAATAACATGACTTCTTATTCTGCTTTGGCTCAAGAGGTTCTGATTTGGAAGACAATTTTTCAGCATACTGAAGTTAATTTGCATTCCTCCACTAATTTATAGATCAGAGCTGCTTTATCAAGAAATTAAATGCATTTTGACATATGATTCTAACGTGAATTCACTTTCTGATCCTAGATTATCTTAAACTCATTTGTCAGTTCAATATGCAGAGTACAGAACAAAAGCAATTATTTTCCAAGAAATAGCTTTAGTAGAATAATAAGTTTGTACATGTGAAAATTGTTTGAAGTATAGCCATGCAGACAGTTAGAAATATAAAAAAATGTGTAGCAATTGTTCATATATACTATATAAAATTGCTTTTTGTGGAGACCCAATTTCAGAAAAAGTCTTTATCATTTCTGAGATATCTGGAATTTCTAATAGATGTGCTCATCTTAGTTTAAAGAAATCATATAATTTAAAAGTTGTTTGCCTATCATGCATTTTTTCTTAAATGGTCCTACAATATTATTGCAAGAAAAAGTCAAAAGTTTGTTTTAGCAGAAGTTATACTATTTGACAATTATATTCTTATTTTAGCCTTTGGGATTAAAAGTAGAGCAAGAATTCTGAATATAATATCCATTGAAAAACTTAAACTGGCTGTGTTTTCATAATTTTTCATAATTATGGCTTGTTAGAAAATAAGCCACATGATAATATAAATGATTCTAATTATTCTAATTATGTCAAAAAGCAATTCAGGCTAACAAATTATAGATGCTTTTTCCCAGGGTTTGTGTGGCATGATCTCAGAAACAATTTATTCTGGACTTGTTCCTCTTATCTGTTCTGAGAGGAACAAGCTAGAAAAATCCTTCATTCAGACAATAAAGAATGGCACTGCCATCCATCAGAACTCACTGGGGGTCAAGATAAGCCCCTAAGAGCAATCAGAACAGCATCAGTATCACACAAGGCATTTGCTTTGCTAAATCAGTTTCTTGGAATAGCATACAAATGGGGGGGGTGTAATCAATGTTAATTAAAAAATTAAAACTACAGAAGTATCTGAATAAGAAATAATCTCATATTTTATATCTTATACTGAAAGGAAAACCCCCTAATTCTGTTGTTGTTTGGTCTTATGAGAATGAGGAGATTTCTTGTAAGTATTTCTTTATTTTAAACATTTTATATATTGGTTTCCTTAAAAACAAGGCAGTTATAATGTGTTAACAAATTTAAAATAGAATGAATGATCACAAAGCAGCAGAACCTACTCAAACTCCTATAGTGATTTGCCAAAATTCCCAAATTCCAAGGAGGCAATGACTGAAATGATTGAAATTTCAGCATATATCAAAAATTTCCTGAAAGTATGAGAATTTTCTAGTATCTGAAGTTACATTGTTTTATCAGCTCTTAGTAGTTCCCAGCAGATTTCCATTTGGATGTATATGAGGGCCACAAATATGGAAGAAACTGAATCCTCAATGAAGCACATTTATATCCTGCCACAATTCTGTAAAGACTTGTAGCATTTCACAACAGTAAAAAACAATAATATTGATAAAATTGAAAATATAAAAAAACCAACAGTCAAAAATATGCAAACCTGGTGCTGGAGCCCAAACATCCACTAAAAAAGTTTCAGCTTAAATAGTTTCTAGAAGTCAACTAGAGTTGGGACCAAAATCTACATACACAGAGGCTGTCCTTCCTCTCTCTTCCTCCCTCCCTCCCTCCCTCCCTCTACATACATAAACACATACACACATATATACATACACACACACATATACACACATATATACATACATACGTATAATACTGGCTGTCCCCCCATATCTGACAGTATATATACACATACTGGTACACATATACACATACATGCATGCATGCATGTATGTATATGTATATGTCAGATATAGGGACAGCCAGTAGGTTTTGAATAAATACATATTATAGTTTATATAATCTATAAAATACTTTTCCTGTAGCTTTTCATTTTGCTATTGCATTTATCAAGCAAAACAATATTTTCTTTTCATTTCTTTCTTTCTTTTTCTTTCTTCTTTTTTCCTAAATGGAGTTTTATATCCATATAAATGAGGATTCTGTAATATGAAAGTGTGGGAGGATCTTTGGAATATACATAAAAAAGCAATACTGTATTTTAGAAAGCAATGATAATTCCTGAATTAGAATATAGTCCTGTGCCAGTAATTGTGTTTGTTCACAAGGATGAACCTGCTATACAATATGGTGATTAAAAAAAATCATACTATGTTGTTCAAAAATAAATATATAGTGTTGAGCTTATGCTTTCTGATAATTAATTAACTGATAATTTCACATGTATTTTTTTGTTTTTAGAAAAAACTATAATCATTTTATAACAATTTGTGAATTGTCATTGAGCAACTGTTTCACTGTCATTTAACAGTACCATTAAAGTTATATTTTAAAAAAGATATAAAATTAATATTACAATTTTAAGCCTGCAGTTTCTCAAAGTATAAAGAAAGTGGCATAAATAAGGTCACATTATCCTATGTTAAATTTAACATCCTCCTTCTTCATTCCTTCCCTCAGGATTGATGGATTGTCACTGCTTATCTTCTGGTGAAAGAAATCCCACCTTTAAATAATCCTCATTTCCACTGAAAAGAAAGTTGAATGGTTTCTTCCAGCAGAATTAGCAGGGAACTTATCCTGTGATGGTTTCTTCCAGCAGAATTAGCAGGAGCTTGTATTATATCATACATTAATTCTGGTTATATTCAGCTGACTTCCTAATAAAAAAGAAAGAAATATCTATGCTGGGGTTATTTTATCTAAAATGGTAGACAAATATTTTATTTATGTTTAGCCTTCCCTTTTCTACTTCCTATCTAATGTTCAGGTTCCAAGGAAGACCCTTTTTTCAACCATACATACAACTTCTCATCTTAGTTCCCATCCTTTTGAAGCAACTTTGTTTGGAATGGCCAGAACTGTGTATTATCTGTGTGAAAGAGTTTTTAACCAGTGGAAAGCCTCAAAGGTTTGCCTCCTACTGTGAACTTCGTAAAATCTGTCCTAGGAATCTTTCCTTCCCATCAAATGGGGACAGTTTCCTAAGCCGTGGCAAGACATTAACCTTTTAAGATTTCACTGGATTCTGATTGAAATTGATTTTGGTGCCTGCAGAACTCTTTTGTGCATGCATAGATTCACTGATCAATTTGCCTAGAAGTTGAAATTGTCTGTGAAAGGTAATCAAATTAGAATGTAACATCAGAAATTTATTAGCAGCATTTTATGATCTTAACTTTTTAGAAGTTAAAACAAATATCAATAGTAGAGAAATAGTTTAGAAAAATTAAGAATCTATTTTAAATCAGAGGTCCCCAACCTTTTGGGCACCAAAAGGACCGGAGGGGGCATGGTTTTGTGTGCTGCCTGCATCCTGCGGCTGGGGCTTTTCTTGTTTGTGTGGACCAGTTCCTGGCATGACGCGGCCTGGTACCAGTCCACGAACTGGTGGTTGGGGACCCCTGTTTTAAATCATAAAATCATACATGTCAATTTTGGCCAAGTTTTCACATTATAAATTAATCTTTCAATGTGTATTTACATACAGCTAAATCTATATGCCAAACGTTAAATGAAGGCTTAACTAAATTAAGATTTACAGATGCTAAAATTAGCATTTACAATTAACATTTATGAGTTCATGTCAACATAGTTGAACATTTTGAACATTTTTACACATTACTGCATTTTTCTCAGTGGATTGGACTAAAAATAAACAAATGCATTGAGTTTTATCATTATAAAGTTTTTTATTTCACTGTAGTCTTCACTTGAAAACTATGAATATATTTATTATGTGTTACTTAATAGAAATTATTCCTATATTAGTCTTGGGTAGTTAAATTAATTCAGAGCTGTCTGAAGATTTTAGCTTGGTAAACTACTGTATCCATCCTACTAGCAGCTACTTGAGTTGCCTCCAATGAAAAGGAAACATTAGTTCAGCTAATATTTAGTATCAGGAAGGATCTGTTTATTATCCACAATACAGTATTGGTTTAGAAGAAAAGGCTTAGCAACAATACTATCCTAATATTCTTTGAGGTTGGAGAATTTTCTAAGGAATTCCTCTCTACTAGTCTTCATTGTAAAATGTCTAACATAAAATTCTAGTAGTACTTCAAAATGTTTTTAAGGTATAGCCAGAATGGCTGGATAATTGAAGGTTTAAATATTGATTATTCCTATATGAAGGATTTAGTAGACACATGTATAGATACATGAAGCCACCCAGGCATATAAGTCACTCCTGTTTTGAAACAAGAGTGTCCTTATCACTTGTCTCCTTTCTCCAGTATCCACACAACAAGCACAATTATTTTTGAATGAATGTTGGGATCCCTTTGCAAACAGATCTGCTCAAGTTTGAAGTATAGCGGGGCTTTCAGTAAGAGAACAAACACTTTGGTAACATGCTGTTCAAAATAATGAATCGGTGAGGCTATACTGAGAAGACCATGATGAAACATTTCTTCAAGATTTAAAGACACAATTTAATTTAATTTAATGTCACAATATTTATCAAGTGCTTTTCCTGGATTGTGTGCTATATTCTGAGAATGCAGAGTCAGATATTACTAAAACATTCAGCAGCATTCAAACCGATAACTGACTTCCTGATCCATCAATAATGGATTACTTGTAATGTCTTGCTAATTTTGCTGTATTCCATTGACATAAAAACAGTTTTCCTCTCAGAATTGTACACTTGATTCCATGTATTCTTCACAAAAGTGGAATAAATTATCATGGAACCGGTAATGCTAAATGCTACTGTTAGCAAATTTTACCTGAATTATTCCATGAATCAGTTTCAGCTAAAAGATTTTGTTTTGTAATGCCAGGTGTAAAAACTAAAATGATGAAACAGTTTTTCTCGTTTTGATCATTCTTCTTTCATATTTTCAAAAAAGATTTTATGACAGCAAAAACAGAATAGTACAATTCTCTACTGTTTATTATAGTGAAGCACAAAGCAGTACAGTGCAGTTAGAAAATAATACGTCCTATTTCATAGCTACAGTTTTACCATTATGACATGAAACATTTCAGTTCTTCAGTGTAATATGCAATAAGTATTAGCAAAAATTATTAATTGATATTTAATAGGTTATTACATATAATAAGGCCAGGAGAAAGAGCTGAGTTGACCAGTTTGGTAGAGAACAGCAACTTAGATTTACTCTCACATGCTATTTCTATGCTAAACATTTCCAAACAGGACTTCTCATTTTCACACTGATGTTATATGGCCCCTTATAGATGCACATTTAAAAAAAGTATTTCTAAGACAAAAAGCTATGAATTTATAATTTGATGGTATTTTATGAATGAATAAATTAAAAAGCTAGTAATTTCTCAGTGGTACCATTTTTTACATTAGTACAATAATACATTATTTACTTGATGGAATAGCTACTTAGTTATGAAAGTTCTTTAATGTTGCAGCTTGGGGAGAAACACCATTGGGAAATAGATACGGGACTAGTTCTTCCTCCCACACCTTTTCTAAATTAAAGACTGAGCATAATTAATCAGTCCTTAAAGGGCACTGGTGTTTTAAACAAAGTTATGAAACAAGCAGCAAAAGGCAAACTTTAATAATCTAAACTAATAATTTAAAAACATAACTACAGTGTTTAATATTTATGAGCAAGGAAGAAGAACAATGGCTTTTTTTTTTGGAGAGGAAGTTTCATTGATCTGCACTTCAGAGGCGTAGCGTGGGGGGTGCAGGGGGGGGCGGCCGCACCGGGCGCAACATCTGGGGGGGCGCGCTCGCACTCGCAGCTCTTTGCCCCTGCCTGTGCGAATCCGATCCGAGCCGCCGGGTCGCCGCCCACTGTGGAGGGGGGGGCGCAAATTACTTGCCTTGCCCCGGGTGCTGACAACCCACGCTACGCCACTGCTGCACTTCAATAGCCACATGTAGTTTAGTATCAGTGATAGAGCAAGGCATTCAGATGTGGATTGCTTCATACAAAGGCAACAGTCCTTCAAATCTTTTAGTGGCAAACCATTTTTGGATTACTGAGTATCAACATTTAATATAAAGAATCCTGCCATCATATTCCTTGATTTTTTTCTGGGTAATCATATATATCATATTATCTATCACCTTTTATGTCTTGAATCTTGGAGCAGTGACCAGTCACTCGTACTGGAAATTTAAAAGACTAAAGCAATTACTATTTTAAAATAAGCTAGATAATTCTGTAAAAGCAGTAGATAAATATAACTGACAGCAAAAGATAAAAAGTTATAAACGCCTATAAAACATGAACACTTTTAGCATGTGGTGGGGGAAAATAGCATTTTCCAGGGTAATATTAAGGTTAATATAGTATAGCAAACTGCACTAAATTTTGACTCTGAAGTCACATCATATTCTGCATGAATAAGTTAATGATAGAAAAGGCACAATTTGTAAGCCATCTTGAGCAAGATGAAGTTTGTATTTGAGGTCCATTTTTAGATGGGTAAGACAGCTGTTCTTTAAAATATGGTGGCTTTGGTATGCCCTCTTTACTAGTTCTGCATTGTAATTTTTTTCTTAATTGAAAGACAGAATTATAAACTACTTAAAATAGCACTGTATCTGTTGGTCTAATTAGTTGAGTTTTATATTATGCTGTATTTATAGTATGAATTTGTACTATTTTTCCTAAGAGCTATAAGCAACATAGATTTGATGAATGTCCTAATTCATCTGCAGACTACTGATTATTTTCCTCTTGCTCCCAACCTTGTAGTCTTTCTTTCACAGAGTAAAAATAAGGTTAGCATGTCATTTTATATAACTTACAAACCAAATTATTTGCAAAATATAATTTAGCTAGAGCAAGAATTCTGTCTTTCAACAAAATCTATGGCAAGAATCTATGAAAGAGCTGAATTTGGGATGTGCATTTTTATTCCGTGGTATCAACAATTCTGATGATTTATTCAATTAGATATGAAACTGTTACGGCGTTTTAGTGCTGAAAAAAACCTTCTGTATACTACTACTTTTCACAAATTGTAATAGACTGATATTCATACTAACAGGAGCATAAGGTGTACAAAATTGCAATTATAATTGTTTATTCTATAAAGAAAATAATACATATAATTTTGTTTAAATATTCTGTAAAGAAAATAATACATATAATTTTACTGTAAGTTAAAATATACCACAGAATAAAAAAAATTTCTGGATTGGATTACTGTTTCTTCGGCTTCTCTAGGGATCTTAAGGTATCAAAGACACTATCATAATGATTGGCTTAATAATCATCAAAGTCTTTTTCAGGGACAATCTTTTTAGCCTGCATATCTGAAGTCTTTGCTATTTTGATACCTGTGGATCATATAAATCAGGGGTGTCAAACTCAATTTCATTGAGGGCTGCATCAGCATTGCGGTTGCCCTCGGGGGGCCGGGGGGGTGCAGCCTATTGGGTGGGTGTGGATGGAGTGGGTGTGGCCTACTGGGTGGGTGTGGCCAGCTGTACATCGTTCGCGTCAAGGGTGCCTGTGGGGGCCTGAGCAGGAGTGGGACAGATCTGAGGGTCTCTGGCAGAAGGGGGTGGGACCGGGGCAAGCGCCAAGGCACGGTCCACTGGAGGAGCCTCACTGCTCCTCACAGGCCATGCAGAGGGGGTGGCTTATGGAGCTAAGACTGAATGCGTTTCAGCATAGATGGCCACCACAAAATTGTACATTGGCTCCCGGCTGGCCAGGGCCAAGGCAGCAGGGGCCGTTCCCTCACTGTTTCCAGGATGGCTTTGTGGGCCACATGAAACCACTTCGTGGGCTGCATCCGGCCCCCGGGCCTTGTGTTTGACATGTCTGATATAAATGTTCTTCAGTGTTGATGGTAAAATCTATTTCTTTTAAAATTACTAACCTGGTGGCTGGCTCTTTACATGGATAGCTGGGAAATGCTCTGAGAAAGACAGTTGAAAAACACTCTTTTTTTTTGCTTTCAGGAAGAGTTTTGCTACCCGGTGGAATGCCTGGCTCTCACAGTGGAAGAAGTCATGCATATCCGTCAAGTGCTGGTAAAGGCAGAACTAGAGAAGTATCAACAATACAAAGATGTCTATACTGCCCTAAAGAAGGGAAAGGTACAGCTAATTGTATTGATTTTCCATAGATATGGATAGTGGAGTATGGAAAAGAAATCTGTATATATATCATACACAGGAAGTTAAAATTTGCAGAGATGGATTCAAATATTTGCGCAAAAGGAAAAGATTAGGTCTGTAAATTGAGACTTATTCTTCTGAAAATAGAAGAGCACCTTCTTTTAACAAATGTTCAATAGGGGGCACAACAGTGATTTTTGCAGATTTTATCCTATCTTGCTCTGAACATCATTCAGCTTTCTAGAGTAGCTTTATATATAAAGCACTGGGCAAGATTCACAAAGGAAAGGATCAAAAATCAGTACATAAATCACCAACTTCACCTTCTCAAACACCAGTAGAATTCAACAGAGCATACGTTTGAATCCAGTTCTTTTTTGTCAGCATGCTTCTTTATTATGCTCTCAAAATGCTTAATATAGAAGATGATATGTCAGTTATCAAAGGATTATAGAAACATTTAATGAGTATTTTATAAAAACTGGGAAATCTACTTATTTTAATAAATTTAATTAAATGATTAAGTGTACAACTACTTGATTATGCAATATATATTTGCTGAAGTTTGTTTACGGACATAATAGTCTCTCTTATTCCCAATTTTTGTAGCTCTGTTTTTGTTGTCGCACAAGAAGATTTTCTTTCTTCACTTGGTCCTATACTTGTCAGTTTTGTAAAAGGTAAGCACATGGTTGTCATTAAAAATTACTGAATAATACAACGATAGAAATGAAGTACTTATTAAACCATTTTTAAAGAATTTATTACTATTAGTTTTGCATATGAAAGGAAGGAGGAATGATAATTTTTGGAGAATAAAGGAGAACTTGAACAGGTTAAAGGTTTGCACTTTTAGAGACATAAGTGGGAAACTTTTATAGTTGACAATGTTTGATTATGGCGTATGATGTTCATGCCAGCTAATATAAAATAAGAAGAGTAAATAGCAAAAGACATCTTTACTCAGAAAATAGATTAACGGTCTTGGTCTTGTAAACTTGTTTACAAACTGCATGCATGTATACTGTAGATGGATTATTATATTGCTCTGAAGAATAACACTCCTCTGAATTTTTCATAAGGCACATTTAAAATTTGCTTCATGCATTTCTGAAATAAGAGTCTGCTGTAGTCTCAAGTGAAATCTTTGGTCAGTTTCTAAATTTTCTTAGGAGAATAGAATTGCAGCAAATTTTTGTTCGTTCCATTTCTGGTTTTGGATTGTGAAATGCTACCCAAAATCTATACTATTTGAAACATGCTCATTTTGGCTTTTGTGATTTCTCCTCGTTACTTCGAAAGAGTTTCTACAAGTTAAATCACCTTAATGAAGCAGACTAGGTTTGAACAGGAGAACTAATAGCCCATGTGGGAAGCTGGGATGGATCTAGATAGGCACACAAGCTTCTGTACCCAGTGTCAATCTTCTAGCTTTTTCTGTGTTTTTTTATTCATGCTGAAAAAATGAAATAACCAGTGAAATTCAAAAATAGTATGTAACTATTAAAATATTTTTATAAGGAAAAATGCAATATAGACCCCAGAGACAATTTTACTTTGAACTAAGAAAGCCAATCTTTTTTTATGTTATAGGCCTGTATGTTCACAGTGCTGTAAAAAAGTAAGTTTAAAAACAAAAATCTAAAATCTGTTTATTAAATTGTTTCTGTTTCTTTAAATACTTTATTTTTATCTGTTAGTTTTAAATTCTACCTTTTCTTTAGGAATTCAAGATAGTATATATAGCATTCCGTCTCTAATTTTATCCTTCTCCAATTTTATCCTAAGAAACATAAGAGTTTTTTTGAATGAGATATTGTTAGTGGGCAAATGTCATGCAATGAACTTTAATGACTAGTTGTGAATATGAGAGTCTGCACTTGCTCTCTGAATATTATACCTACAAGATAGATGAAAGCTTTGTTATCTTAGCATTTTACTAAGATTCATAAAAATACAGTATTATTGAGAATATATTGGAGTAGGGTGCTATAAATAGTGTGGCATTTACAATCTCAGGGCAATTATATCTCACCATTGTTCCCTTGCTTTATGACAGATGCGCCTACCATCAAAGCCATATTCCACCCTTCCAATTTTTACCCTGGGACCTTCTGCTTTACAGAAAGGAGAAAGCTTTATGAAGTCTGAAAAAAATCCCATCAGCCATCACAGGTCACTGAAGGGCATACCAAGGTAAGTTATGCTTATAATTAATAAGGGGGGAGAAAGACAGACAGAGATTCATTTCTTTCTTCTTTCTCCCCTTTCATCTTTCCAAATTAATAATATTAATGCAACTTACTCAAGTTAGAGGTGGAGAAGCTAGAAATACTGAGTTCAAAATGGCTGGGTTCAACCAGAGACTATGGAGAAAGATTCCAGATAAATTCAAACCTTAGAATTTCTCTTCCCAGTATGGAAGAGGCAATTGGTCAATCACTTGAAATGTTCCCAACACTTCAATTCTAAGTCCCTCCCCCTCTAACTTCGGCCCAGTCACATGACCCAGAGAATAGTTATTTCTAAAGGCTGAGAAAGAATTCTATAGGTTACGGTCTAAATGTTTTCCCTATCTTAAAATAAAGTAATATTTTAACAAACTCCTAGGAGATCTCTTCCCTTCCCTTCCCATTCCTGTTAACACCTTCCAGAGGAATGTTTTGTGAAGCACAGCATAACGTTCTGTGAAGAAGGCAGACAACCAAGGCATCCTTCTTGGGAAGTTTTTGTGCATATATAACCCTTTTTGACTTGTATAAACCCCTGTGCCTGACACCATCATCTCATATACATTAAGACTCCTGAGCTATGCTGGTCTTGTATCTGAAAACACTAGTATAATAGTCCTGGATTACAGTCTGTTATTAGCAATCTAAATTTAAGACTATTACACTATATTTCCTTATATTATTGGTGCCAACACATACAATGACCATTATTTCTTCCCCGCACTATCTAGTCCAGTGATGGCGAACCTTTTAGAGACCGAGTGCCCAAAAACTGGCCCGCCCCCACTCCCCCACCCCCCATTCCCCACCCCACCTACCCGCAGGGCCACTCACCGACTCCAGGGCCCGCCGCAGATCACCCAGGCAGCTGAGTAGCGCTATAGTAGTCACGCCCTCTGCCTGCACCCTGCAGCATCAACTGTGCATGATGGAGTATGAGGGAAGCGTCTTGTTTACGCTGCCTGGCTGCCATGTCTTTGGCTGCGCTGCTCCGCGTGGGCCACGCTCAGGGGCGACTCTCCTTCAGGGGGGCTGCTGGAGAGAAGGGGGTCACAGGGGGAGGCAAGGCTGGGGCAATGACACATGTGCCCACAGAGAGGGCTCCAAGTGCCACCTCTGGCACCCGTGCCATAGGTTCACCACCACTGATCTAGTCATTTACATCTAGATAACTCATGATGCCTAGATGCCTTTGTAACAAATAGGCAAGTCATGATGTGATTTATATGTCAAGCTCACACAACTGGGCAAGCTCAGGGAAGCTTAAATAAAGTGTCTTTAATACTAGTATTAAGACTAAATGCACAATTTTGGAAACTATAGGAGTTTCCAAGCCTCATTAGTGAGATCATTAAGACAGAGTTTGTTGGGATATTTTGAATTGTTTCTTGTCATCTAGACACCATGCTGTTCATGAGCTACCAACAAGCTCTCTTATCTCTTAGTTACATCCTCTCCAATCTGTCCTTTCACATACCTGTCAGAAACCATCTGCATGACACCTATAGGAATCTTCCTAGGGAGGAAATGGGTCTCTCACCCAAGGATTGTTTTCTTCAGTAGGAACATCTGCCTTATTCCTGAAATTATGTCCTCCTTGCCTAAGACTATCAGTCTCCAAGTGGCAAGAGGATTTTTCTAGGAGTGGGGCAATGCTACCATATCTCAGGATAATTTGACCTCACACATTGTAGCTATCCAAGCATCTCCACTTCAGCCATCTTTGTCTTGAAACACACTTGCTTCCTGAGTGCCATGAGCTCATTGCATTGAGCATATACTTATTTCTACTAGGCAGATATCTGTACTTTTGACACTCTTTTTAATAAACTCAAAAATATCCCTTCCTTGATTGGTTTTCTACTTTCCATATAGGTGAGCATGATGTGGCTCTGAGAACTCTCCGGTTAAATTAAGAAAGTAATCTTTTGTAGTTCTTTCAGCCTGTTTTAAATGTAATTTCATGTTTTAGTACAAAGAAAGAAAATATATTTTTCCTACATAGCATGATTTAAGAAAATACTCTGTATTTAAGACTCCATGAGATTTAAAAACTCCAAATTCTGTTTGGTAAACTGTAATAACTAGGAACAAAAGTATAGAGCAGGGGTGTCAAACTCACTATGTCGTGACATGACATGACGTATCACAACTTTTTTCCCCTTGCCGGGGCTGGGGTGGGTGCGGCTTCTGCTTGATGCATCCAGCCCGTGGGCCGGCAGTTTAACACCCCTGGTATAGAGCAATTGCTTAATTTATATTCCACAGCTGCATCCTATTTTCATTAAATTTGCATTTTTCCTTTCTTGAATATATTTACTGGAATACCTTAGCCATTCTTGCCTTCTATTATAATTCATGTGTTAGTCTTTCTTTTCTTGCCTGCATTTTTTTTTCCGGAGGATTAAATGTTCTGATTATATAAAATTGGTTATTTTTATGTTGGTTGACCTTGGGACAGTCACTTTCTCTTAGTTCTGAGAAGGAAGCAGTGACAAACTTCCCAAAAATGGTGCCAAGAAAACTGCAGGGAATTGTCCAGGGAGTTGCCAGGAGTCGACACTGACTCGAAGGCAAAAACAAATAAATTAATAAAATGAGCATAAGAAATTCAGGTGATTTGTGTAGTTCCTTCTTTCTCTATACGCCAGATGTTAAGAACTGGGAAAACGTGAAAAGGTTTCTGAAACTCTTTAGAACAATTGGAAAGATGAGTGGTACTAACGAGATCAGAATTGTTCCTTTACTTTTAGGTTGTCCTCAAAGTCAAAGTCTGTAGATAAGTCAAGCGAAGAAGCATTTTTTCCAAAAGAACTCATGGAGGACTGGAGCACCATGGAAGTGTGTGTGGACTGTAAGAAGTTCATTTCGGAAATCATTAATTCAAGCCGTCGCAGCCTCTCTCTGGCTAACAAACGAGCCAGATTAAAAAGGAAAACACAGTCATTCTACATGTCATCTCCAGGCACTTCAGAATACTGTCCTTCTGAGAGGACTATCAATGAAATCTGAGTCTTGTGCCTTTCTCTTTACAGTATTTACTCTTCATGAGATACTGAGAAAACTCATCAAAACCAGAGCATCATTCTTTCCTTTGTTTTACTTGATCATTTATATTTTTATTAGCTTATTGGTTTCCCTGCTTTATATAATTTACAAAAAAAATCAGAAATTGTCCTACCCACCAGGCCAGCGAATACATTTGTTTTACTGGAGAAAGCAACTATATTAGATTGTTGTCTACTTGTATATGTTCAGTGTACAAAGAAAGTCTTTACTTGTATTTTTCCCTATTTATCTCTTAATTATTTTTAAGATGAGTGTCTATGTATGTATGTATATATATATATGTAGATAGAACTAAAGAAAAACTAGATTATGCTGTTAGTAGTACATTTGTAAACCATATTGGCATTTGCTACCAATTAAATATTAGTCATATTTTGTTACTTGACATACCTAGTCCCCTATTGTACAGAACTTGATATCTTATAGTACAAGATTAAGAAGGATTTGTTAATATGCTGGAAATGGTTGATCAATCCATACCGTCTCAGTCTTAGTATAAAATACTGAATAAGCTGGAAGCCTGAATGGGTAATTATTTTCCTGCAGCTTCTGCTATACTATAATAAAATTAGTGTGTTCAAAATAATATTTTTTCTCCTATTTGGAATGTACTCTGAATATCAGTGGTAGTGTTACCTGTAGCTTTTATAAATAAACAAAACAAAACCCTTTATAGATGCAGAATGCAATATAAGTTTAGTTTTTAATATGAATGAACTTTTGTAAACTAGTGTTCTCTGGGAAATAATCCTGAGAAAGTAAGATAAATAATGTATATTTGTTTTATAGAGCAATACATAAGTACTGCTGTAACCAAGAATATGGGAGCATGTCTATTATTAATCCCATTTTTACAGGGGTATGTATCTTGGCTGTAAAGATTTTTTTCCTGAAAAAATTTGGGACAATGTGTCTCGGATTAAGAAGTGTTTTTGTTTCCTTGTTTTCAAAAGGTTGGAGAAACACTGAATGTTTTCAAGTTAAAATACTACTGAACATCACATTTTTGCACTGTTTTATATCAGATTTTTTAAACAAGACTGGCGCTTAGTATGGAATTGGATTATTTTTATATATATAGCACTCATTTAAACTGTTTGCAGATCATCTGTGGATAGAAACAATTACTCTGCTATGTTTTAATGACCTAGTTTATCTTTAGAATCAAAATATGAAATATGATGGCAAAAAGGTTGCATTTTCATTTTTATGTTGTAAAGGGAATGAGTGACACCTCAGTTCACTTCCGAAATAGGCAAAAGTTTACCAACCAATTACCAACATTTATTTATGAAATATACTATCAAAATTTATTCTACCATCTTAATCCCTGACTTTTAATATTTTGATTTGATTGTTCCTTAAATATCCCAGACAATTTACTGTTAACACTACCTAACTGAAATGATGAGTGTTAAATTTAATATCCAAGGATCACGAATTAATCTATTTTGGGGGTGAATATTGGGCTCCCATAGAAACTATCACAACAAATTGTAGATGACAAGCATCTTGTGATGAACTAACTATATAAAAAAGTAACAATAAAAATAAAAGTCAGCAATCTTTCCAGGAAAGAAGCATGATTATGCAATATCCCAAAAACTCTAATATTAAATATATTAGGAATAATTCTAGAAAATTAAATAACTAAAATCTCATGTATAATACAAGAAATCTTGAAAGATTTAATGATCCTACAAGATGATAGATATTTGAAATTTATTGAAAACTATATTTTAGAAGTCGTGGCAACATGAGTGATTACTGACAAGCTCCAAGGTAATTAGTGATCATTTCTGTTAATCAGCAATTTATCTTAGGTTCTTTGCTCTCTTTAACTTAAAATGTACACACATATAATATGAAAGCAAAGTATTGTTCTATCATCAAGCTGGTAGTCCTTATTACCCTGAGTTACCAGAATCTTTCCATGTTGTACATTCACTTCCAGTGCAGCTGATCTACTATTCTTCTAATTGTATCACGTAGTTCTCATTACACAATAAAAATAGGTTAATTTTTTGATAGAAACCATCTTTTCAAATGTAGGCTAGAATACATTAATCAAATTTAATAAAATACTACAGGATTTTATTAAATCCTCTTTATTGGCAAAGATTTTCTATGGTTTTCACATTTTTTGTGTGTTTATGTGGGGCCAAGGAGAACACAAAAAAATTAACTATTATATAAATATATAAATTTATTTCCTAGCAAAATAAACAAACTTCTGGTATATGAGATTCACCTGAAATTGTTAGGACAATAGTTGGATAGTTGCCTAGATATATTTGATATTCTAATAAAATGAATGAATTAAAGATTTTGTATTGGGCTGCATAAGAGAAATGCAGGTAGTCCTCGACTTATGACCAAAATTGGGATCGGAATTTCCATTGCTAAGCAAGGAGGTTGTTAAGTGAGTTACACCCAATTTTACAATCTTTTTTGCTCCAGTTGTTAAGGGAATCATGCAGCTTTAAGCAAATCCAGTTTCCCCCATTGACTTTGCTTGTTGGAAGCCAGCTGGGCAGGTCACAAATGGTGATCTTGTGATCCCAGAACATTGCAACCATCGTTAAAGTCATACTGGCTGCCAGGTGTCTTTGGTCACATGACCATGGGGATGCTGAGGCAGTCAAAAGGGAAAGGATCCAGTCATAAGTCACTTTTTTCAGTCTCTTTGAAGAGTCCTAAAATGAATGGTTGTAACTTGAGGTCTATCTGTAGTCAGCAGTCATATATAGATAATGTTTTACTAATTTGTACTAAAAAAAATTGTTTACTTCAAAATTCCATACTTCAAACTGAAAAATGAATAGACCGTTGTAACATTTTCCATTTTTCTGATCCGTTACCACCCGTCATATGATGCTTACATTCACAATATAAATGTCAGAACTGATTTAAATAGCTTATTTCTGTGAAGGCAAAGCCTACTGAAGAAGAAATTGTACAAATTAAAATCTGTTACTTCCCTTCTCCATTTTTCTTTATTGCTGGGCTTATATCTATTTATAATTATCCCTCAGAGATTGCTTATCAGCATCTGCTATGTAATTCAAAATCAGCTCCAGTGTAAGGTCCCATAAATTAAAAAACAAATCCATTCGTAGGAATATGGTCATCTGACTGGAATTTTACTAAACTGAGCCTCTCTTCTCTACCTTAAATTGTTTTGTAATGTAAACCCAAGTTAATCCTTTGCCAAAGCACAGATTCTTTCAGCAGTTTGGCTGCTTTGAAGGCTTTCACGGTAGGTCTCTGCATAAGAAAGTTTTCAAAATGTTTGTCCTGAGCCTTACGGAGAACCCAGCAGCTTCAATACAGAAGGTTATTTAGCTTGTACTGGCCCACTTTGTGAAGTGATTGTTTTTTAATGCTTTGCACAAATGTTGTGTGCCTAATTGGTTTGAGAATATGACAAAGCTATTCCACAAGCCAAACATTCCATGATTGCATGCTTTCAAAAGAAAAGTACACCCCAGGAGGGGAAAAAAAAAGACTTGGATTACTGTACTGATTCTGAAAGCACATCTGATCATCACATGATGTGTGTCAAAGTTAAATGAACTTGCTAAAACTTATTTGAAAGTTACATATTTCTGTTATTTGCAATCCTATGTTATTTGCAATCCTATGATTTCCCTTTTCTGTTTCCAAGGTCAATTCTTCCCAAAAGTGGGAAACATAAAAAAAACACTATCAACAAACTTAGATCTGGCAGCCAGCACAATTTCCAGTCAATAAGAGAATTAGATAAATTCTAGTTAGGTGAGATGAATCCTATTGAATCTTGGGTGGGTCAGAATCCTATCCTACCAGTCACAAGGAAGGAATGTCAAGCAAATGTCTTTTTGCAGTTGCATGCCATTCACAAGCGAAACATAGGAAATCTTAAGACATTTCACCTTAAGACAAAAGCGAAAAAATAGGAAATCTTAAGACACCTGACTTTGTATCACAATGCTGTGATCTGCACTAAGCTTCAAAGCCTATTGGCATGTATAGAACTGTACACTTTTTAAATGCATGAAGATATGAGAAATAATTAAAATGTACGGTCATTTTAATGACTATGGATTGGATGCAGAAGTACTTGATTTGGCTGAATCCATAGAGGAAAGCCACATATATACAGCACAATTCTTTTTGCCAATGTCCATTTCTCAAAATCTAATCTGGAAGACGGGAAATCCTAAACCTTTCATGAGAGCTGCTATAGAAATTAGGTACTCAGCTTTCCACCAGCAAGAACCCTTTGCTGGAACCTGCTGCTGTCTGTCAGGAACAATAATTCTTTGCTTATACAGAGATGACTCTATATTCAAATTAAGAAAATGACATTCACATTTTAGATTTTGCTCCTAACTGAAGACTTTTTTTTGCATTCCATAAATGAAGATATTGCAAAAAAAAAAGCTTTGTAGACATGTATTTGTAAGAAAATTATTGTACTTTTTTTCTTGCCTTTCTTCTATGTTTTAAATCTTGCTTTCTGAGGCCTTGCTCACCTAGAAACTCATCCAGCCCAAAGACAGAAGAAAATCATACGGTAAAAACAGGAGGAACAAATGAAAATCAAATGCATGAAGTAGGATTGAAGAAAGCTGAGCTCTTTAGAGCTGAATTTAGACTACAGAATAAAGCCATTGTGTGTTAAAGTAATATTTTTAAAAATGATAAAGCCTTCATCCCTTGATTATACTCGGAAACTACTTATTGCTGCAATGATGATTTTATCTTGCACTATAAATGAGAAAAGTGGTAATGAAAGAGAAGATAAATAGGCTTTCTCTCTGCAAGTAGACAATGTGTTTGGGAAAACAAGTCAGAATAATTTTCTTTTTGGCTTTTTTCCTACTATCTTTTACATAACTGTTTTTCTTAAAAAAAAAAAATACAGGTCACCAAAAGTCTGGATGCTTACAAGGAAAAAAATTGCACAGTTGTTTAGTTTTCTTTATTGTGTTCCTGAACCTGCAATGGTACCTGGCAATGATTTGAAAAGGAAGCACAACTTTAAGTTCTTTAAGTCTACCTTCTTATGTCATCATGCTGGCTCCCCTAATGGATAACCATTTGTAAATGAAAAAGGCAATAATTCTTTTTCTGCTTGTTTTCCTGTTACATAATATTCACCTGCAGTTTATGTATTATTAAACTCATAAAAATGTTGTAGTATTGTTTGTGTTGTCTCATCAACTGAACACAATTATCTATTATATGCACATAAACAAAAATAACATTTAAAAAATGTTATAATCTCTAGGACCATTTTTATAAATTACATTTCTGGGAGTGAACTGGCCTGGATAGGATAAAACTCAAGGGAAATAAGAATTACCATTCTTGGGCTGAATGTCTGGTTTCTAGCTTTTAGGAGAAAAACAAGATAATAGTTTTGTTTTCCTTTTATTGGTGTTTTAAATATAAACACCATTTTATGTACCCCCCCCATTGGTTTAAGTTTCATACCGTGGGACATGCAAAATTAAGGAATATGCACTCCTAACTACTCTTGAGTTTAGTGGTTCATTCTAGAACATTCACTACCCTTGCTAGTGATCTATTTTTTAGGACTCAGCATTATATGGTTATCCTGTTCAACAACTGACCTAAAAACAGACTGCTTTCCTAAAGAAAAACAATACTTTTTTTGCCATCTCTAAGTGGGTCATATTAATTTATAATTTCAGAAATCCATGGCATTTAACACTTGAGATCAAATGATGTGTCACTTAATAGAGCTCACAATCAAATCACAAAATAATGAAGATCTAGAACATAGTGCATCAATGTTTCCCCTCACTACAGTAATGTTATCTGAAAAGTTGTTGCTGCCTTTCATCAATCATGGCAGTTTTCTACATTAATTAAAAGAATGTAAACCAGAGATTTTGATGTTACTGCCCGAAACATAAAACTAAATGTTTTCCAATAATCAGTCTGCTCATTATTAAAATCAAGATTTCTTTATTCTAGGAACTGGACCCCATTATTAGGGAAGATAATATTTTTCTATTTTAATAGTCAATCAGGTAGAAAATAAAATTTGCACAGATGTCTCTGGTCATGGCATAAACAGTTTCATCTATTCCGAATACTTCTTCTACATCTTTTCAAGATACATAGCTTTATCTTCATTTACACTGAGGAATTTTTAAATGCAAACAAAAAACACATACAAATAAGGAAGAGATTACAAGACCAATTAAGGACCAGATCGATTCATGGACAGTATGAATCAAACATTTGAACATGCAGATAACATTGGCAGATAATAAACTCTGAAAGACACCTGCATATAGCCACTATTAGTTTCTGGAAGTGGATGTCAGTAATATTTTGCTTTTCCTTTCTCTTAGTGAAAGGCTTCGTTCATAGGAAATATACAAATCAGTAAGACAGCAATGCTTCATCCACTATCTTGTGCATTTTGAGACAACAGACCCTGTTGGTCTCATTCATACATAAAGAATTATTCCTGCCATTAGTGTTGCTTCCCTCTCAATTATATTGTAATGCCAACAAATGAATGTAAATGCAAAATGGTGGTATAGATAAATCTAAAGACTGGAAAACCCTTGGCAACAGAAAGAATTTAGCAGGGATACGGATAGGGAATAGGATTGTAGTTTTCCTAGTAAAGGCACTCTTCAGCTTGTATTTCTCTGACACAACTTTGGAAATAAAACAATTATGTGCCTTACATCTTCCCTTTTTAAAGCTTTGAAATTATTCAATTACTCAGAAATACTATCGATTTAAAATGTTTCCTGCTTCCAATTTCTAGAGAAAATATCACAAAGCAGGTTTTCACTCCTTAGTGAATTACTTGTAGAAAAATAAAAACGTAAATTATATGAAATGTAATGATATGCAAACAAAATGTAGTTTTAAAAAATGACTAAAAACTAACTTTATTTCATGGAAGCTTCTTTGTAATATTCAAGCCAATTTCTACTGCATCCTCTCTATGATATAAAGTTACAGACTCCTATCATAAGTTAAAGCAGTTTGTCTTCATTAATAAAACTATTTCTAATTTGTATTAGAAAGAACATTCCACTGAATTTTGAAATTCAGAACCAATATTTGAACTAACTTTATGAAGGAACAGTAATTTGAGTTTCACAACATGTGAAAGATACATGGACATGATAAACCCAATTCTCAAAGCAGGATGTGAAATACAGAGTGGTATAGGAATTTTTTTGCAGCCTTCTAATCCCTGATGTGAAATAATGAGCTAAGCAAGTTATCCTAAATGTATGAACATATTTCTACCAGTTTTTTATTTCTAGTATTTCCCTCTGAGGTATTAGTTGACTTTTCACAAATGATTAGAAGAAATCCATTTCAAAATAAATTATGCACTAAATATCAGCTGGCAAGAAAATATTAATATCTTCTAGCAAAGTATCTGCTTCCCTAGTTTTTACCAGTGCTTTGAGTATAAATAAAGAGGTAAAATGTTGGCATTTCTTATTCAGCTTCTACAAACAGTGCAAAAATAATACCACAGAAACCTGCAACAAACAATGTAACTTGCCAAGGAGCACTGCTTGGTATATTCCCAAACAGACTTCTTTAAAACAACGAGGCCATGCTGCAAAATTAAGGAAATTAATCAGAGCATGCCTCTATATCTCTTCTGGATCAACTTGGTAACTTTAAGGTATATGGACTTCAACTCCCAGAATTCTGGGAGTTAAAGTCTACACATCTTAAAGTTGTTCAAGTTTGAAAAACACTATTTTGGATTGTCATTCCACCCCCCACCCCCACCCCTCAAATAAATAGTTACTACAGGTTGACAGACTCTCCATATTTTTGGTACCTATGTACTTCACCAAAGAACTACAACTGTACTTAAAAAAATAAATGCTAAGATTCAAGCAGCAAAAAGAGCAGCACATTCAAAAGTGTATTCGTATAGCTTTTTATCAAAACACAGCTTGGTGTTTATGTAGACTAATCTTCAATCATTCTTTCAGTTTGAAATCCACGTAAATAGCTTGAATTTGAAGTCACTGTCTTGCGGGGAATTAGTTAACTATATTTTGAATCCATATAAAAACATAAAAATAAGCTTAATTATAATGCAGCGGGTCCCCAAAATGCTTCAGTGTTCAGAAAAAAAAGTGTCCTGTAAAACTGATTATAAATTAACAGACTCTCTCATTCTCTCTGCCTGCCTGCCTGCCTGCCTATATATGAATATCAAAAAAGTAAGGAGTATTTGCCTCAGCAACAACAATAACAAAAAAAATCAATGGAAAAATAAAGATTGTGACAGTTCATCAGTTTTCCATCGAAGCAGCTGCCATTGTTGATTTCATACTGTCTCGTGTTGAAGTTAGTTCACCAATCACCCATTCTAAAGCTTCACGCCCCTGTAATGGAAAAAGAAAAGGTTATTTGACTGACTGGAAACAATGCTAAGCATGTAAAACTTTCCTCTGTCAGAATCCAAAAAGTTTCAAAAGCAAAGTAATTCGTTTCTGCCTACATGGTGGAAAAGCTGCTATATTATTAGTGCTACTGAAACTCTCTGTTATTTCTTGGACCCCCTTCCTTTAAGAACAGCATTAATTTTAATTTGTTTTGAAAATCTTTAATTTTTAACCTAATGACACATTTTTTTCTGTAAACAACACCCTTGCCAACCAAATTACAAGATTGCATGCTAATTCTAATGCATAATGCAATGAACTGATTTCTCAATCCAGCAAATCAATTACAAAGTTTCCAACATTTCTAGAAGACTGCTAAAGACAGATTTGATTTACAAATATTCCCAGAACATATCAATGACCCAAATTCTAGTCAAAAAGTTGTGAAACCTTTTCATAAGCCACAATACTAAGAATACTGGAATTATTGCACTCTCCATTACCACACTGCATCTCAACAAAGAAAATACACCGGAGTATCTTTTTTGCTTTTTCTGAATGAGAAAATTCATTGCCCTGATTTCTTTTTCTCCATTCTGGAATTGAAAGAATACTTCAAGGGCTAGTCCTAGAAAATAATACTACATAAGAATTCTACAGTCCTTGAGGTTATCTCCAAAGGCAGTTTGTCACCTCAGACCTCAAAAAAAATATCTTTTCCTCTTGCTAGCTGTTTCCAACTTTGAGAAATTCCTTAACACCAAATATTTAAAAAAGACATTACAAATCATGGTGAGGGGCAGAATGGGCTATGAATCTAGAACTTTCCAACATGTTCATAGCCCCTGAGTTGCTGAAATAAATTTAGTCTAAAGTTTTTAACTGAAGAAATTAAAACCCTACCTAACAAATGACTATTGAATATTCATAGATAGCTATTGCTATTTTACTAATATTTTGATCTTTGAAGTTAAAGTAAATACGTACATCAACTGTTTTGAGGGCACTTAGTAGATTATACATAGCTCAACCAGAGTGTTACTTCTACCTTGAAATGTCTTCCAGGTGGTTATTTATTGCCACTTGGATAATTTACAGAATGTGAATAACTGCCAATTATGTTCAATAAAATTTCAGATTTTTTAAAGTATCATAAATACTTAGAATCAAATCACCTCAGAGAGCTAAACCTACACCTAAAATCTCATCAACATGAAGTAATAGCCATGTCAGAAGTACACACACTGAATTAGCTACTTCCCTGGCAACAATTTCTCATCGAGCGCTAACCATATCCAATCCTACCTACTCCTTTTTTGAATGTAATCATGTTCTACTACGTTCTATCTACACCGACTGCAGCTACCAGGTTTACTATAGTTCTGTAAAAATATGTTAGGTAGGAATAGGAAACTTGATCAGAACTGCTTACCTATGCCCCACTTACTTATTACGACGACTACAAAACATATGACTCAAATCAGGAATTTAGCTTTTATTAAAAAAAATAATCAGATGGTGCTTACTCTGTATTCATCTGCTAGGTTATTGTACTACTTACTGTATTTGCATGTATTGTTCCTAAATTGCAAAAATGTGACTTCTTAATAGAAGTTTAATTTATGAAGTGAGGAAAAATGCACCATTAAATATAGGAGATCCGAGGCTGAGCCTTAAGAATTCATACTGCAATGTTAGGCCTGCAACAGTATAATTGATCCTAAATTTATGACAACATAGCTGCCATGACTTTTCCAAAAAGAATCTCGGGTGAGGTTATTATCTAAATTCAGTAGTTATCTCTTGAAAAAGGCTTTATAGTAGAAATATGCCACAAATTGCGTAATTATTAAAGAACATCCAGATTAATTATATATTTTCACAGGTAGTTTCACATTTTTGCACGCTATATTTATTATTAATGTTTCAATATTTTTGAAGCCAGCAAACATTTCAACATTTTTCATTCTAAATCAACCATCTTTAAACTACTATCTATCTGAACATGCTTCAGTATTGCAAATTACACAGTTCAGATTTAGTTTTAAATCTTCTAAATAAAAATCTAAAAAAAAAATTAATTATCAATATAGAAAAATAACATGCTGAAAGAAGACATTCACTGGTTTATTGTAAAACAGAGCGTGAACTGTTGCATTCTTACAGTGCAAGATACTTGCAATATATCAATTTTCAGAAATCTTAAACATTACTTCAAATCTGACACCTATGTCAACAAAATTCCAGGTTAAATAAAATTTGGGGGTGTACAATTATATAAATGTGTATAGGTGTATAATTAAATAAATTCTAGGAAGTGAAATAATTTGATTTAACCAAATTCTAATTACACTGATAAATAAGCAAATGTCTGAATTCCCAAGTTTATGTTGCAATGAACAGTTACTCATTCATTTATAGCAGTTGAAGGAAACACATAAATTAGATTACTTTTAATACACTTAGTTATGGATAGAGCAATCCTGACAAAGAATTAGTTTGCAATGTACTTCAAATGGTGTATTAATATACACTGTAAGCAAGCAGATTTGCCAATAGGCATGCATCTTTAATGTATTTATGCATATGATAGTAGTACAAAATTGACACAATGTTAATGGTTTTTAATTTAAGGGCAACTAAGAGGATATGGTGACCATGTACTATGTTCATACTATATACACACACTCCAAAAATCAGAGTATTTAAAGATATTGCACCATCTTTGTATAAATGTTAATTACCTGTAAATTAGGATATTAAGCAAAGAAATTAAACTATTCTGTTCCAAGACTGATAGAAAAATGTAAAAAAAGACCCTATCTAAATTTATCTCTATAGCTAGCTGACAATTTTATCAGAAGCTAAAAATGTACCTTTGGAACAAGTTATTCAATTGGAGAAAAACAAAATCAATACTTTTATTATAGGAAACCTAATGACATTATTAGTACAAATTCAAATAACGTCCCAGTTAATGAGCTGCAATTCATCACATTCCAATGAAAAGCAACTGGTTGTTTATGCCATTCATTGTTTTCAATGTAGAGACAAGCATAATTATAAATTATATAACTAGAAATTTCTCCTTATATGCAAAGGAGAATGAAAAAGAGAAAGAGCACTTTTAATCTTAAGAATATGCTAATCACTTTAGCTTGAACTAGATGTGGGTGGAGCCAAAAGGTTCTATATGACAGCTCATTTAAAAAGCACAAAAGCAGTTATGTATCTGTAAACAATGAAGATAATAATATCTACTGCATTTACCCAAAGGAAGACAATCCTGAATTGAAGACAAGGTTCCCCAAGGTTACCAATTTTCAAAATAAGTAGATAGAAAAATATAATTCTGGACAAAATTTTGTGCCTAGGTTTTACATTTAAATCAGGTTAACTCACTAGCTGGAAATTTTCCACATTGCCAATAAATATAAGTGTTTTACAGGCTTGATTGAATATGTGATGGACAAAAAAAATCACATTCCAGAAATAGTCAAAACTGGGACTACTGAATGAGTAACTTTCTAAAATTAATAGACTATAAAACAAATTCATATGTATATATCAGACATGTCAAACTCGTGACATCATATGACGTCGCACAATGTATCGGAGCTTTTTCTCCATTGCCGGCAATGAGGTAGGCGTGGTTTCCTGGTGACGCGTCAAACCCGCGGGCCAGCAGTTTGACACCCCTGGCATATACCAAACATTCTGTCACATAAACCACTCTCCAGATGAAGAATCATATTAGGAAGGAAGGAAGGAAGGAAGGAAGGAAGGAAGGAAGGAAGGAAGGAAGGAAGGAAGGAAGGAAGGAAGGAAGGAGACTGAGATGAGGTCAAGGAAGGAGGCAACTGTTTGTGAAGGGAAGAAAAGAAAGACGGTCCATTTAGATATCACAAAAGAGTTACAATCATCAGGCAAGTAGCAATCTTGTCTTTCTATGGGGTAAATATAGTATATATAGTCTGACTTAGATATATAATGACATGTATGCAGTCTGCTACCTTCTTCACTGCATTGTCAAGAAAGACAAGGATGTAAATAACCTGAGAATTGGCTGCCCCCTCATGAGGAGGTTTTGGATAGCATCCATCTATCCCTGTCAACTTCTAGCAGCTGGAATCTATATACTTAGCCTGATAATCAGAGTACACTGATTGTATTTATACAGCTTTTAGCACAAGCTGTATTACAATGCATGTATCATGATGCAGAAAAATCTATGTGGTTGCTACAAGTTGATAATGACTTCTTGGCATATAATCAATCAATTAGCTAAATGCCGTTAGCATCATATTTCTACAGAAATATACTGCAGAGTCAACTGAAACCAATATTGACCTCAAGTAGTACATGTTAAGCAACCTAGGATTTGAAAGTAACTCTTCGTTGAACAGTTATTTCACATCTAGTCTTGCAATGCTCAGACCTGAACACATAATCAATCTGATTTGACATGCATTGCTACAATAGAGCTCTTTGACCAATTCAACACACAAATGTTTAAAAAAAATAATTCCTCCAGTGTTCTAATAATATTCTTTTTACACAAAAAGCAACAACAAAATATAAAAATAACATTAAATCGATCCCCTTGGATTAAAAACCTTCCTATGACAAAGTATTTAGATATCAAAAGAGCCCTGATTCCTAATTAAGGGCACTGTTCCTCTATATGCAATGTGTGTATATACATATAAAAGCATGCAGCTTTTTAAAGGTACATCACAACAACATGCATGTACTTGCTAGAAGCTGAAATGCTATACCAAGGTAACAAATGCTGACATTACCACTAGTTAGTACAAAATGCAGCTGTAGAAAGACTGCTAGCTTAGAACATTTTCAGAATGTTGAATTGTCCATTCAAGAGCATCCCACCCCTGGAGTAACACAGAAAAAATGTACAACTTGCAGCAAACAATTATTCCATCATCAACCCTACAATGTAAGAGCTTCTAGCAAAATTAAACATTTTAATTGCATAGATACAGCAAGCAAGAGTACCCAAAAAAAGTTTCTATGTATAGAAAAGTGGGATTTTGACAGCATATAAACATGCATCCCATCGTACTAATACTGAGGAGTCGACTATGCGCATGTGTTGTTGCTAGTTTGTTTTTAACATCTACTTGAGATTACATGTTACCAAATTCTTTAAAAAAAATAACTGCCATCTAGACACTTGGTTACAAAATTAAAATGACCGCAGCTGAATGAGTGAAAAATACAGAGCCACACTAACTGTTTAGCGGTACCAGCATTAGAACAGAAAAGAAGAATAAACTGCAGGCAAATGACTAGGACAAGCAATGCATTGACAATTTTATAAACAGGCAGGGAAATGTAAAAATGATTGTTTATCACATTCCTCAGAAATCTGTGAACAGCATCTCATCTCATCTAATATATATACATATATACATATAAACATATATACACAGGTACATCCATACATACGTGTGTGTGTGTGTGTGCGCGCGTGTCTCCAAAAATAATCTTTATAGGAGTGAGCTACTTAGTTGACATTTTGCCACTCATTTCTAATTAAATTCTAAACCACATAAGAATTACACCTCAAAGAACCAAAAGTTACATTTCATAACAAACATTTAGTGGTGCAATTAGGACAAACTGAAACTCACAGGGAAAAAAGGGACTTGCAGCTTGTCAGACTTGAAAACTTACATGAAAATGCTATTGACTAGTCTCCATATTTATTATTTGAAATTACTGAAACAGATGACATGCTTATGATTCTAGCTTTCTCTTACTCACTAACACAGAATGGGAAACTTATACCCTACACATACTGCAAAACCTTCATTTCCAGAAGCTTAAACCATCATACCCAATGGAGCCCAGCAACAGCTGGAGGAGACAGGGTTACCACCAATGTCTCAAACGTATGGACTGTGTGTATTGCACTTTATTTTAAAGGCAGCATCAATCATTTAAAGGAATCATTTCGCAACTTTTTTCCCCACTTATCACTAAACAGAGCAATTATTTGCAATCTGACTAATCTGTAAAAGGAAAGAGAGTAAAAAAGAGGTAGCCCAATTCTTACTTGACTTCAGTTTTGCCCTGAAGCAGCAGACTGTTCTCAATGGAATGCAGTCATAACAGAAAGTATGCCATGTTTTTCATACCTTACTGAATTTAGAAAGCAATAACACTGGCTATTTCAGATACACTGGATGAGAACTGTCTAATAACACCCTCTCTGGAACAGTTGGAACAACTTCCACATTTAATTGCCAGATTACATTTACAAAGAAATCAGGGGCTGGGAACAAAGTACTACTGGATGCTCCCTACAAGCCTGTAACCTTGAAAAAAAACAATCTTTTGCACACTTTTCTCACATATTCCATGAGATTTGGATGATTTTAATTTTAAATAACTTGTAAATAGTTCCCCTGTTCCCAGATTTCCCTCAGGAAGATGCCCACATCACATCACATCACATCATGCAATTGTAATCGCTGCCTTAAACAGTTGCTAAGTATAATATAAACCAAAGATATGAATAGATAAACATCTTGCTTTCTCCTCTCTTCTACTTTGGAGACTCAAAATGGCAAGCAGGTTATTGGCCTGCTTCCTCTGTAATTTTATGTGCTTACAGAAACCCACTGGGAAAGCTAATTAGCAGTAAGAAATACTATACTTTGATCTATGTTCAGGAGGCCAGCTGCCACATTTCCAATTCAAGTTCAAACTGAATATGTGATTATACCACAGCCACATGCATTCTACTCTTTTAGTTATAAACATCCATTTTAATCAACACACACACACACACACACACACACACAGAGAGAGAGAGAGAGAGAGAGAGAGAGAGAGAGAGATGTATGCAAAAAGGAAACCTAATCCATTGTTCACAATCATCAGCACTACTACCTTCATTTTTTAATCAAGTTCTAAATAGTTAAGAATGTTCTCTAAAATACCACTGGTAATTAAGTCATTTTCCTGTTCTTAATCTGACTTTTTTAAAAATTATATTGAATGTTTAATATAATGTTTCCCTACCATTCAGCAATTTAGTGATCTTTAGATGGGTTGGCTTTGAATTCCAATAGGTGCCTCAGACATTTCTTTGGCCTGTCCTCAAGCCTCTTGCCTCATTCTTAATGTTTAAAAATAAAATTAGAAGGAAGCTACAACATTGCAAGGCAAAGAAGCAGCCTCATTATTTTTATTTCAAACATAATTTTTATTTCTAAGAATCCTGTGGATTCCATAACTTCCTTTCAAAAATAAAATGGGACGTAGCTGCAGGTCAAAGCTTCTCTGATAAATATGCTCCCTGCAATTAAAAAAAAGTCTGAATATTTTAGGAAGTACAGAGGTTGCCAGAAGCACAGATGGTTTGTGAATAGGCAATCTATCACCCAGTCATCTTGCTTGGTATTCACTACATTTTCAAAATGTTGAATAAGTGACTTTTGTTCAATTTTAACTCTCATCACTCCCTGACAATTGATAAATTGGATTATAATCCAAAATGTCTAGATGGCATCATACTTGAAAAAACTACTAAATAGTGTTGTATTTTGACTACTCTTTTATTTGGTTAAAAGATTTTTAATTGAGGGTATCTTGGAATCCATCTATCTCAAAAGCCAATGGATTGAGAACATATACTTGTTAAACAGATATCATGGTAGCAACAGTAACACAATAAAAAGATTTTATATGCCTACCTTTCTAGCATTAGACGATATTGTGTTGGCCATTAAAGTTTCCAAGTAACTACTAAGACTAACACCTTTTACCGTAATAATTGCTTCTTGAGTTAGAAGAGTCCTAGGGAAGGACAAAAATTAAAAAGTTAGATCACAAAGGATTCTTAGTGACAAAATTACACTTTTGTTCAAGCATAACATCTAAACTTACTTTTCAGGATTTTCAGGATGAGGTGTATAAACTAATCGTTCATCCACTGATACAAGATTCGTAAGTGTTATCTTAGAAAAATAAAGACACAAATTAGTTCTGACTTACTCTTTCATATTAAATAAAAAACTCTTACAAGTTAGATTCTGCAACACCTTAAATAAAAAGACCATTTTAAAAATGATGAAGGCTAAAATCTTAAACCCGTTGTTGAGGGCAGTAGCTAAAGAGTTTCAAAACTCATATTTTAAGTATCAGTATAAGCAAAATAATTGAGTGCGATTCTTTTAGGATGCCCTTCCTATTCTAAACTTATATTTCCCAGCATGACTTTCCTAAGGTTTATTTCAGAGATACTGAATATTATCTAGTATTCTGTTCTCGTTTACACTTTGGTCTTACAACTATATTTTTTAAAGAATCTTCAAACATGGTATAAAAAAAACCCAGAATAAGCATTCAGCAACCCTCTTGTCCTGCAAGCAATAAACAACAGACTTCATTACTTACATTTGTGGAGCTCAATATCATTTTCTTTTCCACTGGATCAACTACAGAATGTTCTTTAATGTATGTAACAGTTCTATTTGTCCCCAAAATCTTGAAGAAAAAAAAAGGAAAAACGAGAATTAATCAAAGGTCACATGAGCAGAAATTATGCAATGAATATAAATCTTTAAAAGTATGATTCCTCGACATGCACTGTAATTCTTAACAAAATGATATTAAATATCTATCACTAGAATTATGCAAAGTCAAAAGCGATAATTGTATTAAGAAGCCAAGAGGGTAATAATTTAGGAAGTTATTTAATAAAAACGTTCTATTCGTGCTGTTTTTGTTTATTGTTAATTTTTTACAATGTAACTTACAGCTTTTACAATATTTGGTAGACCCCATTCAGTACTAAGTAATCGATGACTATGTAATCTTCCTTGATTATCAAGGCTTCGGTCCAGGACATCAACTCCTACCACTGATGGGTTCATAGGATTGGGGTATTTTCTCATTGCAGCTTTTATTACAGTATCCCATGGATGCCTGGGAAAAATGAAATAGAACAGAATTAATCAATACACATCTTTAAGCACTCAAAAAGAAGGTTCAGTACAAGTAGAAATTATTTTAATTTGTGTTAAAGAATGCCCCAAAAGAAATCAGTAACCGAATCTCATGATTTTCTAATTATTTTCCCAACTTTTCCCATTCATATTGTGTTTATTTAATTTTTAACCAGCTGAAAGTAGAAATTAGGAGAAAGTATAGATATGCTATTTTTAAGTGAATAGCCATCCACATCCATAACCCAAAAGGCAAGTGCAGCCCAACATAGAGTTAATGTACAATAAAATGTGCTAATGTTTTAAAGAATAAAATCTTCATGTGTAATGTACTTTTAATGTTGATTTACTTTATATTCTTCAGGTGGAAGAGTTCTATCAGAATTTGTTTCAACATGAGCATATGTAGCATTACAAGAACATCATACTATTACAATACAATGCATTTTTTCATTTTAAAAATTAATAAGACAATTTTTCTCTGTAGCAAGTTCCTATCTAGGAATGGTCTACTGTACTCAAAGGAAAAATCTTACAGATTATAAATTCAATCCTGTATTTAAGATTATCTTTTTAAAAAGCCCTGTTAATCAGTGCCAACGATGTATTTAGAAACCGTTTCAAATATGGTTATGAATTTTCTAAGTATTTTTTAGTCTTGTGTCATATCCACTTGACCACATCATCTGGAAATATTCTCTCATTTCTATTAGTTTGTCTGCCCCCCCCCCCCGTTTTTCTTTCTACATATTTCTGGACGTTTTAAATTCCTAGACAGCTGCTTTTATTTATATTTTCTACTTATGCTGAATTCTGATGGCTCCAGAAAACTGACTATGCAAAGAATATCTGACAAAGGCATCATGATTCAGCGCAACCTATTCAAGAAACTAGATCAGTTTGAAAACTATTGCTGATAAGTCTGGAAGTATCCAACGATAAACCAAACTACAACTCACAACCTTTGTTCCCTATGAGCCTCAGGCTGCTGAATATAAGTTGGCACATAACACATGTACATTCTGAACATGTAAGCTGGACTTTGATTTTTAGAAATACCTTTAAATCACTCGAATTGAAAGAACAGAACATTCTTGAGTAGGACCACTTGTTCCACATCTCTCGTTTAAGGAGCTCTGTTGCAATTCCCATATGCTAAAATATACATAGCTCGAGCTTCTGTTAGATTCTCTTGATAATTAATACTTGCCTGAAGGTTTAATTCATTTATACTTCATTTATTCTTTAACAGCTCACCCATAATTTAAAACTGTACAGAATTTGAAATGAAGGCTAGTGCAGTGTCCCTGGAGTAACAGATAACAGAAACCAGACAACTGTCTTTCTTCAGAATGTTAACACAATGGGGTGAAAGGAGGAAGCATACAGATACATTAAACACTATTGTTTTAAAAAATGTATACAGCAAGAGGGAATCTTAATAGTGTGAAGAAATATTTGGAGCACGAAGGCAAGGTTATTCACCCACATCATATTCAAAGGCTTTCTTATGCAAGGGTCTCTATTGTGATTTACAATATTTTCTTAATCTTTCTTACATAGGCAACAAACCAAATGTCTAACATCTATAATCATGCTTTGTTCAGGGCTCTTCTGCAGTTCCTTGGTGAGGAGGCCTGTGGTTTCTCTAATCTGGGCCTACCAATAAAATATACTTTGTTGGATCCTTTTTCAATCACCTTGATTCCTAATTTAATAAGAGCAATATTTCCTCCAACACAAGGAAAAAGCCCATGTAGTCTACTGGTTAAGGTGCCGGTCTACGAACCAGGAGACTGTGAACTCTAGACCTGTCTTAGACATGAAAAACTGGCTGAATGACTTTGGGTTAGTCACTCTCAGTCCAATCACTTCATTTCATAGGATATTGTTGTGGGATGTTGTTGTGGGGAAAATAGGAGGAGAAAGGAGAGGTATTAGGTATGTTTGCCGCTTTGAATTATTTATAAATAATAACACAAGCAGGATAAAAAATAAAATAAAATGCTCAAAATGTTCTCTGGCAATTTCAAATCACACTAAACGTATCTTTTAGCTTGAGACTTACACTGGATAAATAATTGCAACAAGAACTTCACCAATTCATATCACTAGTACAATCTCATTCAGTTCTCATGCCAGAACATTCCATTCTTTCTGTCCAAATTTAAGAGCTGACAGATAATTTTTTTTTTTTAGGCAAGAGTGCATACAGGTAGTTCTCGGTTAACAATAACTTGTTCAGCAACTATTTGAACTTATGACAGTGCTGAACAAGTGATACTTACGACCAGAATTCATATTTGTGGCCATCCCAACACTCCTACAGTCACATGACAACAATTCAGGTGCTTGGCAACTGGCTTACATTTATGATGTTTGCAGCATCCTGTGATCACCATTTCTAATCTTCTCTGCTGGTTTGCTATAAGAAAGTCAATGGGGAAGCCAGTATGGAAGGTTGCAAGTTACTATGGTAAATAACTCCCACTGTTCTTTCTCTCAAAGAGGTCCGAAACCATGGGCCCAGGCAGGTAGGCAGTCACCTATTTGGTTGCAGTTGTGCTGCGCACATATATGCTGGCCTTGCTGGGCTCACACCACAACATAGTAAGCACACATACACCCCTGCTTTCCAAGTATTCCAGCACCTGCTGGCCTGTTTGCAAAGCCACCTAAGGAGACTTGCAACTTCCTGCCAACTTCCCCATTGTCTTTGCTTGCTGGAAAGCTGGCAAGAAGTCACAAGTTCCAATCCCATTAGGTCCTCACCATGATCCTCGCTTAACAACAGCAATAGGAACTGCTGTGATTGTTGTTACTAAGAAATCTGGTCATGTGACATCATACTTATAACTTCATTGCTTACTGATAGAAATTATTGTCTTTAAGTGAGCTCTACCTATATGGTTTATCTTCTGGCACTTCCAGATATATTGAAGCTTTTGCTGAAAGCTAAATGTTTGATACTAAATGTCAGACAAATAATGTGAATTTTAAACACTCAAGCTAAGCATAATATACATTATATAACCCCACTCAAAATGACTATCCCAAGTTTTGGGATTTAACCTTAAATAAACTTTGGCAAGATGACAGCTATTCTGGGGTGCTGGTTCACTGACATACATCATACCAATCATGCAGTTCTTTGTCAAGTTATGTTATCCAAATCTTAGAAAAAGAGTAACACATAAACAAAAGATTTAAAGACCGGGAAAAATGTGAACACAAACACTTTCAATACATGTTCCCAGTTTCGGTTTCTATCTTTTCTATATGCCATTTCATACAATAGCTTTTTATTCTTTAAATCCCTCATTGGTCTCTTTTTGAAGATTTCATCAATTCTATGCAACCCTAATGTTCTTTGTCTTCCCCTTCATGTACTGGTTTTGCAATTTGATCCTCATTCTTTCTCTATGACCAAGCCATCTCACCATTCTTCTTTTATACTGCTTGCTCATTTTTGTATTCAATGTTCATTCAACAGCATGCATGCTTTATTACAGAGTTTTAAATACGTAGACAATTTCTACTACTGTACATCCAAGTTACTTTTATATTTCTTTTTAAATAGCCAATACTCATTTCTATACAATAAATTAGGCAAAAGCACATTCACACAGCCAGCCATATTGTTTATTGGGGCAAATATTCATTTTTTTACCACTGCTCACATATTACCCGCTACCTCTGCACCACAATGTGCATATCTTAAAAATGTATTCACCTGCTGTCTCCATTTCTAGTGGAAGGAGCACTGACAAATATTAAGTAGCACCATCTTCAATTTTCATTCTAAAACAAATTGATTCTCCATCAAGGAATTACTTCACATATTAATTAAAAAGCAGCTCAAAGCAGAATATTGATATAATTAGAAGAGGGTCTTATAAAGTTTAGAAGGAAGCTGCAGCCACAGATTTATACTCTCATTTTTATAGGTATTGCAGAATTAAAATGCAGATTTAAAATTGCCGAAATCAGTAACAAGATTGAAGATTTTCATCACACTAATATGTGCAATCTTAAGGCTTATGCGATCTAATCTGTACAGAAAGATGATAAAGGGTAAATTCACATTCAGATGTCCTTAAACATTCAGAAAAAAACCTCACAAGGATGAGAGTGGCATACTTAACTGGACTTATGTTTCAAAAATAAAATTAAATGCTTCAGAACCGCCCTATCATTTATTAAAGCAGCCCCTTTTTCTTTAGGCTTTCATTGGAATCTAAAAAGGTGTTCATGTTTAAAGGCATCAAATCATTACCTTCAATGTGATTGCTTAAAGTGGCAGCACCTTTTCAGAATAACTCTAGAAGCCTGAGAATTAGAATTGTCCAAGAATACTATGTTAAGCTCATTCAAATTCATTCTATTAATCAGATACACACATTCAGTATCAGCTGGGAGAACTGGATGAGGTTCTGGGAAAAGATCAGTGAATACGAAAGACTTATGGTTTATTATAGAATTTCAGAAAATTATTTCATAATAGCATAGCTATTTACCAGCATATTATGCTACTTAAAAACTTAAAAATGACTGGACAATTACTGAATCCTTTAAATGTAAAAAGTGTATCAAATAGGTTTGAGAAAAATCAAAATTCTAATTTGTTATTTCTATGCAAAAAACATCATTTTGCTATGGATAAAATAATATAACTTCTGTTCATGCAAAACAAGAATTATCCAACAACTTTTCATCCGAAACAACTTTTTACAGTGTTCCAAATTCTCTTAGAAAATTTCAAGATGATTGGATCATGAATGTATTTCCTCCATATCTGTATATCTGGAGACATCACAACATTACCTCTTACTTTTAGCCACCTTTCCTTGAAGTGCTAAAAGTCTGTTTTATATTAATTTGGTTTCTGAAAGGATTAACTCTCCACTAAAAAAATGACAAAGAAATAGATTTAGAAAGCAAAATGTTTCTCATGTATACATAGAAACATAAACCGGGAAAAACTCTTGACTTAAGTCCAAATTCTGGATTTTTCATAACCAAAACATACTCAAAATGTCAAAACAATGGAGGCCAGAGAGGAAGATTTAGGACTAGCTTTACTTGTCGCTTAATCAAACTGCTTATTCAAATTGCACAGTTATCAAAAAACTACTTCTAAAAACCTCAGAACAGGTAAAGAAAGGTTTTAAGATCATCCACCAAGGGCTACCCAGCATGGATCACAAATAAAACACCAACTTGATGACCTTCCAGCATCCTAGCAGAAGTGTCCTTTTGCCAGTTTCCGTTAGAGGGCAAGGTCAAGAACTACTTTGCCCTGAAATAAGGACAGAAGGGAAACACTAGGGGGGAAAAGATCTACTTACTGTAAGTATTGAATTAATGCAGGGGTAGGCAACCTTGGCTCTTTTATGACTCGTGGACTTCAACTCCCAGAATTCCTGAGCCAGCTATAGCTGGCTCAGGGATTCTGGGAATTGAAGTCCACGAGTCATAAAAGAGCCAAGGTTGCCTACCCCTGAATTAATGCCTTGAAGAAAACAAAATGAGCGTGCCTCTACAACCCACCACCGATACTCCCGCAATTTTCAAAGCTTTTCCCCACTTTTCCCCTAAGTCTTCAGCATCACGACTGTAAGGTCGGGCAAAGTTACAGCAATTAAGAAGAGATGTTGTGTAGGAAACGGGTTTCCCTGGCGCTACCGAATATGTTGGGGGTTAACAGGCTGCGTTCACACAACATCTAACTTCAAAACGAGGCTGCCTCTTTGTATCTTGAGAGCGTTCGCCGGGATCCAGGCGGGATGGTTTGTAAATCGTGGCTTATGGATTAGCACACTGCCGTAAACCCAAGAAATAAACCTCGATTTCGTTAACGCAACCAGACAGAGCGAATCCCTTCAACCTTTCCCCCTTTGGGAATTACAGGCACGGGTAGGCAGCAAGCTAGAAAAAGCTGGAGATCTTCCACAGACTAGGCTAGAGAGGAATCCGGGTTAGATCTCTCGCGACGTCCCCGCCGAGGCCAGGCAAACAAGAAAAGCGCCATTTCTGCCCTCCCTTACCCGAATTCGTGTTCCGAGCTCCAGATCTTCATCCTGCAAAGAGCGACAGCTGAGCGGCGGAAGGCACCGGCTTCTCGGCCCAGAAGGAAAAGGCGGAGCTTCCCGCGAAACAGGATAGGAATGTGGCCGGAGACGTCAGCATCTGCGTCACCAATGTAGGGCAGAGACCATCTCCTGGGTCGGGGGTAGGCAACCTTGGCTCTTTTATGACTCATGGACTTCAACTCCCAGAATTCCTGAGCCAGCTATGCTGGCTCAGGAATTCTGGGAGTTGAAGTCCATGAGTCATAAAAGAGCCAAGGTTGCCTACCCCTGTCCTGGGTCAACCACTCTCGGCTCTTGCAAGGCGGGAAAAGGCGGACCTAGTGCGCAGGAAAGACGGCAACGCCCTTGAGCCGGAGACGCGGAGTTCACCTTGTCGGCCGGCACGTGCTTACGCCGTCATTGCTACGCTGTTAGGCCACGCCTCCGCCTCTGTGAACGGGTGGCTTTTTTTTTCCACGAGCGGCTTTCATTGCGTGACTGACCACGCGCGGAGTTTTAAAGATTGCCTCGGTCGAGATTAGTCTGTACCGAAAGCAGAAGAATACATCCCGCTTTTGCTGGATTTGTATTTGATGAAAAAAGCAATCCAGTACTAGTTTATTGAGACAAAGCCTACCGAAATCAGTAGAACAGTGTTTCTCAACCGTGGCAACTTCAAGATGTCTGGACTTCAACTCCCAGAATTCCCCAGCAAGAAGTCCAGACATCTTGAAGTTGCCACGGTTGAGAAACACTGCAGTAGAACTTATTTCTGAGTGGACAGCAATTTAAAGAACATTCTCAATTTAATATATGACTGGCTAAATCCACTTAATTTAATAATCCACTGTATTGGATCACTAATTTTAATTAAAGCAGAAAAAACCTAGGTATAACATAGCCCTATTATTAGATGGCCATGTTCACATAACAGGTATTTGGGTTAAATAAAGTTGACAGTGTTGTGCAATTTCAGCTCAGTTACTTAATACAGTGTCACTACTATATGTAGCGCAACTCCAGACATCTGAAGTAGTTGAGCCAACTGGATTAGCATTTAAAATTAGGATTTTTTTCCAGATGCCTAGTGCAAATCTACTTCCTTGTAATTTAAAGTCTTTTATTCCCGGGATTAAAAACCTTTAGTGAAACACACTTTTAAGTTCTTTCCAAACTGTAATTTTCTTATCTGGAGGGAGGGTAGACCAGAGTCATGCAGTGATGTAATATTGTGTACAAAGACCAAGATAAAACTTTTTTTTTTTTTGCTAGATACCCTACCAGAATGTCCTAGAACTCATAGAGTATCACATTTATATATTCCAGTTCAAGCTGGTTCAATAGCAGTCACACCTACCTTGTCATAAAATTGAAGTATGGGAAAAAAAAGTCTTTCAAATTTGGAGCAGACCTGAAACCATGTTTTTTTATTTCCTGGATAATTACCATTTAACTAGAAAACAGAGTTTATGTTCATTTAACATAATTGCCGCAATCCTATTGCTACTTACTCGAACATAAACCCTATTAATTTTTGTGGAATTTCCTTAACACAGCTAGTCTTGTATCCCTCAAAAACTAGAATCCAGTAGCCCAGTTTCCAGCATCAGGTGTTTCTAAGAATTCTGCAAGAAAACAAGCCAGTTATTTTTGATTTGCTCTCTTCAAGCTAAATTTATTATGTTATCTTGAAGCAAAAGCATATACAAGAAAATCAGCTTTATCCTTTTACGAAACTCATTATGTATGAAGAACGTCTGTAAATATAATTCTAAACTTACACCTTTTCAAGCTTATTATCTCTGCTTATGCAACTTTTGTTCTCGGATTGTGGGATACTTTAGCTCAGTGTTTCTCAACCTTGACAATTTTAAGGCATGTGGACTTCAACTCCCAGAATTCCACAGCCAGCAATGCTGGCTGTGGAATTCTGGGAGTTGAAGTCCACATGCCTTAAAATTGTCAAGGTTGAGAAACACTGCGAGCTGGTCTTTTCATGTCTGTAAGAATCCTTCTGGAAAAAGCACGGAAGCCCTGGTGCTCGAAAACTGCTCCCTCGGGAAATAGCGGCGCTTCCACAATTACGAAAAAGAAAAGAAAGAAAAGAAACGGCCCCATGCAAACGGCAGGCGCGGAGACACCCTGCGCGCGCATGGGAAACAGGAGGCGGAGGAGGACGACGTCGACGTGATGACGCAGGCGGAGCGCCAGGAGCGTGGTTCAGCCCGCCCCTTCAGGAGGCGTGAGAGAACTGTGCTTGTGGGGCCTTTAGGCCTGTTTGGGGGGGGCCATGGCTCATCGCTGCCTCTGGCTGTCCCGCGGTTGTTGCCGGCGCACCCCTACTGGGGTCCCCGCAGCTCAGCTGCAGCTTTGGTCCCGAGGTCGAGCTGTCCCTTCCCGCTCCATGAGACAGGTGAGTCACAGACGATAAGCAGGGCAAGGGCAGACGGGTGCCTTCTTCCGATGTCTCCACGGCTGCCCTCCCCGTAGCGCTTCTTGAGCCCCTAATCGCCCGAATCAACTGGGTCGGCGGCTGGACCGAAGCAAATTGCGTAGCTTGCGTTTTTTGCTCGCGGCAAGAATACAACAGATCCCTATTAAGATCAGGGTCGCTTACTTTAGGGTAACCTTAATATACTAATGAATAGCCTATACCAGGGGTAGGCAGCCTTGGCTCTTTTATGACTCGTGGACTTCAACTCCCAGAATTCCTGAGCCAGCTTAGCTGGCTCAGGAATTCTGGGAGTTGAAGTCCACGAGTCATAAAAGAGCCAAGGTTGCCTACCCCTGGCCTATACTCTTTTAAAATGGGGCATCCTCTGTAGGAGACTTAAGAGTGAGCTTCCACATCGTGAGAAAATTAAAAAATACAGTGCAACAAAAACCGGCTCTATCGTGTGCTGGGATTCTTGTAAAATGCTTGGCTAAAGTGTCTGATTCCATAAGGAAGTAAGAATTTTATTCATAATATTCATATTTTATTCATTTTATTCATACTCATAATTAATATGTGCTAAAGCACATATTAATTAATGCTTTACTTATCTGGTAAGTAATTTTAGAAAGAATATGACTTGGGAAAGAGATTAACTTTTAAGTTTTGGTTCCTTATAAGTTTCAGAAAAGAAGCTCCCCTTCGATTTTTAAAACCAGCATGAAAATATACAGTAGACGGCTGAACCACTTGCCATGCTAAATCATAATTTGGTCTGTTTGTTGCTTGCATAGCCCAGTCCTTCATATCCAGTTACTCGGTGAACCCCAGCTTAGGACAATGTACGAACTTTACCTAGCTTTAGAATTGCTAAACAGAAAAAGACATTGTTAAATTTGTTGCCAGAAGAAGTATACAGTTATAGCATTCTGTCCCAAAAATGATTTTTTAAAAGGCAGTTGGACTATGGCCTAATACTAGACTATCTTTGAGTATCTTTGAGACAACCATAACTTGGATGACTGAGAATCTCCTTAGATATTTGGTACCACATTCTATTTCCCTTTTACCAGACAATTTTATTTCTGTGCTAATTGTGAAGACTACCTGTATTCCATGGCTCACATAGATATCAAGGAAGAGCTAACAGGGATTATCTGTTCCTCATCTCCTACTTATTTTCATGGACTTGCTGATCATTTCTGCTGATCAGTATATTGTTAGATATAAGACTGTTGTAACTTTTTAAGAAATTCCAAATTGCTTTCTATACGTGTGTGATATTGTTGGATGTTAAAAGCCATTTCCAAGTACTGCTTTCCTGGGGCTCTCATAATAATTCAGAAGAAGATAGGGAATGTACAATATAATGGAAGTGTGATGTCAGTGAGATATAATCCTGGATAGGTTTATGTAAATTAAAATCTAAGAAAATATTGGATGCAGTTTGCCAGTAATCCTTAGTATAAGCATCTTAAGTTACTTTTAAATGTGCATAAAATTGTACTAAAAAAATCTGGAACGATTTTCATTCTTAACCATGATCATTCTCATTTTTTTCAGCTTCATGATAAAGTGATCTCCCAGGTTCCTACAAACAGAAACAGTGTCCTTGTAAATGTAATTGCTGCTTATCAAAAACTCTTTTCCCAACCTCCAAAAGGTAATTATTGCTATATAATACTGATGCCATATAGCTTGCATACTATTACCTCCTTTATGTAAAAGGATGTATACAAATAACAAGATTTATTCTGAATGGCAAGAGGGAGATATGAATCTGTGAGTTGCAGATTGTATTGTGGTTTAAAAATACCCAAATTTGCTTTAAGTAAATCCACTAAGATAAAAGGAATCTAACTCTCATTAATTTCACAAAGATTGTTCAGAATATGATTATTTCCAAAACCAATGTTTCATATATTTATTGTACATATTGTCATGTTCTGCAAAATGTGTATTTTATTTATTAAAAAGTAGCAAAGTTTAGAATGTCATCAATTGCATTCAATGAAATTTCCATTTCCATTTGGAAAATTCCTTATACAGCAGCTATATCTTTCTGAAATCCTATAATGTCTATAATAATACTTACTGGAAGTTAGTAATGTGCAATGAGATTTAAACTCATAATATGTAGACTTCAAATATTCCTTTTACAATTTGAGTTTCAACATCTTAAAATTCAGTGATATCAATAGAATTAATATATTTTCATAATTTTTGAAAACTTTCTCTAGCTCCAGGTACTTTCAAATGAAATACTTTTTTCTTTTAATTTAAAATAAATTTCAAAGGAGATATCTACAAATGGACATATTTTCTAAAATTGAACAATTAATGGCCAATGTAATACTGATAAAAGATACCAAAAAAGGAAAATGAGTTGTCTTTCTGATATAAAAAAGAAATACAACATTTTTAGTTTAGTGCCAAAATATCTACTATATTATTATTATAAATGTTTAAAAACATTCGTATAAATAATATAGGTAAATATTTGATTTTTGACGTCCCTTTTCTTTATGCCAACTGAATCAAATACAGTACTCTTAAATATGACTTTGTTTTTTTAAGAAATAAGAAATGTGCACATATATAAAAATTTTGAATGTCAAAAATA